CTGTCACATAGTGGCCAAAAATACCAGGTGCCATCAGGAGCAGTGTTCCCTCTAAGCTGAGTTAGTGTGAGCTAGCTCACAGTTTTTTAGCCTCCAGCTCACACATTTTTGTCTCAGCTCAGGAAGGATGGCCCGAGAACAAACTAATTTATGCAGCAGCCACATCGCTTGCTCACAACTTTAATGCCAGTAGCTCACAAAGTAGGATTTTTGCTCAGAAGACTCCACAGCTTAGAGGGAACATTGATCAGGAGGTCCAGCAGTGGACCTCCAAAGGGATCTGTCGAGGATGGGCGAGTGGGTATCATCGTGGCAAATGGGGTTCAATGTGGCCAAGTGCAAAGTGATGCACATTGGAGCCAAAAATCCTAACTATAAATACACATTGATGGGGTCCAAACTGGCAGAGACTGACCAACAGAGAGATCTTGGAGTCATAGTAGATAACTCACTGAAAATGTCGAGACAGTGTGCGACTGCAATAAAAAAGGCCAACACTATGCTCGGGATTATTAGGAAGGGAATTGAAAACAAATCAGCCAATATCATAATGCCCCTGTATAAATCAATGGTGTGACCTCATTTGGAGTACTCTGTACAGTTCTGGTCACCACACCTCAAAAAGGATATTATAGCATTGGAAAAAGTGCAGAAAGGGGCAACAAGGCTTATCTATTCAGCCATTCGCTGAAATACATAGTACAAGCACTTTAACAGTATCTTCACTTGTAAAACTAGCAACACTGACCATGTGACCAGTATTGCAGTCCTGTCATTTGTCTTTTATTCATGGGAAATGTACAATGCCAGTGCCCACCCAGTACATGGTTGTGATAGCATTTGTCAAAGGGTTGTGGCAGGTCAAAAAGCAAAACGCACAAGACTGGGGAGTGAGTCCTCACTGCACAGGATAATGAGCCACCAACAGCTCCTCTAACTAACCCTCAGCTAAGAGACCGAGGAACAAAGTCTCCTGCCCTACCAGGTGTTAATCAAGAAGTCAGCCCTACAAGGTAGGACACTTGCAAGTTGAGTTCCAAAAGTATTACTTTGGTACCTGTAACCAGTTGAATTAGGGAATTCTCCATCAGGCACAAATAAGAACAACTTTCTACATTCCCCTAAAATGAGGGGAGGAATTATTTCCTACTTAGAGAATAAACTCCCAAGAGATATCTCCCCCACATAAAATGATCTATCTCCAGCCCCTGTTCCCCTTGAACCCATAATCCAGATATGACCTAAGAATGGTAGCACTGTAATAGCTGTCCCAGGTATTGAACAATGCCAGAATTTATGAGCACTCAAGGCAAATCTGTACAAAATACTAAACGAGCGTAGCTGCTTGGAATACTAAAAGTCAGTTGCCACAAGTTATTTCATTTCTAACCCAATACAATATTCTTTTACTTCAAGAAACATGGGTTTTAAATGGAGTTGCTCTTCCTGGTTATATTTCATTCACCTGGAAAGCTTCCTTAGGAAGCTGGGGAGGGAGACCTAGGGCTGGATTAGCATGTCTAATCTCCATGGCTATTATATGATCTTTTAACTCTACTTGAGCCTTTTTACTTATGCCCACATAAATACAGGAATATGTCTGAGCCGCCGAATAGAAATAAATGGTCTGACAACAAATTCAAAATTATGAAAAGAAGAATTTGACAATTGCACTGTGAATTTAAAAGAGACGATACCTAATACATTCTAGGGGAATTACTTCATCTAAAAAATTACAAAGAACTAATTCAGGTTAAAAAGAGAAAAGAAAAGTGTAAGGGTGGCAACTTCTTATTAGTTCACTGAATAATAGTGATCTGTCAGGTTTTTGGAAAATTGTTCCTGTGGCTATGAATCTAACTTACCATCATGCATCCCTGCCTCTCAGTGGATGATGCATATTAAGGAGTTGTTTTGCTCTAGTCTCTCCTATAATACTGTGGTAGTGAGTACAGTAACTGAGAATCTTCTGAATTGGGCTCCCGTATTGGAGAAGGATGTATGTAGCATGATTCCTTGTATGCAATCTGGTAACGCTTCAGGCTTGGATAGGGTCTCAAATGACTTATTTAAGATATATCCTTCCTATATTAGCACCAGTTTCTTCCTCCGATAAATTTGACTGGTGAAATTCCCGGCGTTTGGAAGCATTTATTAATCATTCCAGTTTTCAAAAAGGGTAATAGATCTGACCCTGCTAATTATTGCCTGATCAGACATTTATCATCTGTTGGGAAATTATATTCTTCCCTTTTGTAACAAAGGTTAATGGAATGGATTGAGACCAATAATATTTTGGGATGGGAACAAATTGGTTTCAGGAGAGGATTCTCCACCATTGACCATTGGTTCCTGTAATGTATTCAGCCTGACATGCCCGGACTTGCCCGGGCTGGCCAGGCACAATTCATCGGTAGCTTCAGTCGAAAGACAAAGGAGCCGAAGGATCCTAGCCGGCCCAATCAAAAGGGCTAGCTTCCCAGCCGGGGGGCCAATGGTCGTCCGGTTACTGTAAATAGCCTATCGGGAGTAGGGGGTGTGTTTAGGTGTACTTGGTGGCGGGTCGTCTGCATACTTTTCAGTTCCATTGGTTAATTCTTCTCCACTTAGCAGGAAAGTATACAGCTATGCCAAAGGAGAAGCTGTATGTGGCTTTTATGGACCTTAAGGGTGCATTTGATTCAATCAGCCGGACAAAGCTATGGGAGAAACTAGAGGGCTCATCGGTTGATAAAAGGCTACTCTGGTTATTCAAGATATTATACACTAACACCACTACTCAGGTTTGATGTGGTGATGAGGGGCAACTCTCAGACAGTTTTAGTTTTGATAGGGAGGTTAGACAAGGCAGTTTACTTGCTCCCCTCCTTTTAAATTTATATTTAAATAATCTGATGTAGAGCTTCACATCCCCAGAGCCCCCGATTAGCTTCAAAAGAATTACCACTGCTGTTTTATGCTGATGATTCTGTTCTTACTTCTTATACTAAGATTGGTCTGAAGAGACTTCTGAGACATTTCTCAAATTACTGTTTAGAAAAGGAGTTGCAGATAAACTACAATAAATCTAAAATACTGGTTTTGTCCAGAAATAGCAATATAAGATTTTCTAAGTGGCCCATAGCAAACTTTCATATTGAACAAGATAGGAAGTTTTGTAACTTGGGAATTGTTTTCTATTCATCCCTTTCTTGGTCTCCCCAGCTTAGGTTTGTAGTGAATAAGACAAAGCCTATTACTGGAGCGATCTTACATTTCTTTTTCTCTAGGGGAGGATGATATGTCCCTGGTGCAATTCAGGTTTTCAGTTCAAAAATAATTTCACAGCTACTCTATGGTGGTGTTGTCTGGATCTTGGTAATTTCAGGATCTATTGTCAGATTTTTTTTCCCTTGGACAATGGGCATCTCTCAATGTGTTTCACATGTGTCTCTCAGAGCTGAACTAAGCCAAAAGTCATTGGAAGCTAGAGCATGGCTTAGTTCTTTTAAGCTTAGAATAAAGACTGTCTTTGCTGTAGAAGTGTATGGATTGTGCTGTTTTCTCTCAAACAAGATGCTTATTACTCAGTATGGATGAAGACTGTGAACACTTGATTATAGCAGCTGAGGCTTACATTAGAAGAAATTCTCCAGCTGGGTAAGGCAGAGACCCTCAATATTGTCAAGCATTGCCTCACCAAGCTCGATTGCAATAGCACAGTAACTCACACTTGTAGAGTTTGTTCAACCCAATTCTTTGGCATTTTAGTACCTCAGAACCTGCCTTCCTATACAAGATATTTAACAGTTCCTCATTATGCTAGGGCATTTGCTCTAGTTAGTCTTAAAACTAACCCTTCTGAAGTACTGTGTGGTAAGTTTTGTAATATTCCATGTTCAAATAGTCTTTGTTGTTGTGGCCTGGGTAGAATTGATACTTTAATCTCATAAAATTCTGGAATGTTCCTTTTATACTGTTTTTAGGAATCGATGGGTTTGACCTTTTTATCATTAAGTAATTCTCAAAGGGATGTTATTCCATAGCTGATGTTAGACAGTGGTCCAAAATATAACTTTATTAGCTGCTAAATTCCTGTCTGTCATATTTTCCTTAAGAAACTGGGTACCCTTTTAGTTATTGTTCAAGATCTATTGATCAGAGGATCCAAAGTAGGCCAAAGGTCTGGATTTATATTGAAGCCCCCAAACCCAAATAACACCACAACTTGCTGCTCTGTAAAAATGTCAGTTTTCTGGGGTTTTGAGATGTGATGCTAAGAAAGCCTTTTTATCTATAGCATGCCTTGCCTGTGAAAGTTTATATGAGACAGGAAGTGGGAAAGCCCAATTTCAATTCAATTTATTACATGTCTATACGACCGAAGTCTTGACCAGCAGAAAATGCAAAAGGGGGGTAAAATAGGTACATAAAATTAACATAACATATGACAGAAAGCCCAATTTTAAAAACAAATAAAAGTTCTAATCAATGTGCCTATTCCATTGGATTTATACAGATGTAGGAAATGAGAATACATTGTTTGAGAAAAATATTACAGGCTGTGTGTGTCATTGTTTGCCCTGTCAAAACTAGACTGTTTTTCTCACTGTGTGCAGCCTGAATCATTACCTTGAATAAAGGATGATCCAATACTAGCTGATAAGTTTCCACAGTCAAATAGCATAACTACGAAATTCCTAACTTACCTCAGTGAGAGTCACAGAGGCTGATCAGTATTGTGGGGGACTCCATCTTGGGTTTGCTCAGGCACATTCATGCAACTGAAAATGCTGGTCATGGTGATGATGTTGCCACTAGGCCTGCAACCTTTGGGAAAAGTAAGTTACAGTTTCAAACTCAAAGATTTGAAGCCTGGAGTAGTTCTACCTGGCCCAAGCACTGCCCATACAGAACATTTATTTTTAATATCACTCGTGATGTTTCCTAATCCTTTCCTTCCAGTGCTGGTCTATTTTCTTTGTCTATCACTAAATCTGCTTCTTTCCATTTATTTGTAGGAGACAAGTCCAACCTCTGGTTCAGCCTCTCCTCAAGATGGCAAAACCTCTGGAACTCCAGGAATGCAGGCTGGTTCATCTCGAAGAGAAGGAGCACCAGGGACTCCACAGGCTACTGGTGTCCCAGGAGTTCAGCCAGGCAGGCAACCTGGTGTTGCTGGGGCTGAAGAGGCCCAGGTGGGAGCAGCTGGTGTTCCAGCAGGTGTGCCTGGAGCACATCCAGGAGCTGCCTATCCAGGGGCTCAGCCTGGCTACCCCATGATCCAACCAGGAGCTCCTGGAGCCCAGGCACCCTACCCTGGAGCACCTGGGGCCTATCCTGGGGCTCCTGGAGCCCAGGCACCCTATCCTGGAGCTCCAGGGGCCCAGGCACCCTACCCTGGAGCTCCAGGGGCCCAGGCACCCTACCCTGGAGCTCCAGGGGCCCAGCCTGGAACTCCTGGAACCCAGGCACCCTACCCTGGAGCTCCAGGGGCCCAGCCTGGAACTCCTGGAACCCAGGCACCTTACCCTGGAGCTCCTGGGACCTACCCAGGTGCCCAAGGACCCTATCCTGGAGCCTACCCAGGCACACAAGGACCGTATCCTGGAGCTCCTGGAGCCTACCCTGGCGCCCAAGGACCATATCCTGGAGCTCCTGGAGCCTACCCAGGCGCCCAAGGACCCTATCCTGGAGCTCCTGGAACCCAGCCTGGGGCTTCCGGGGCTCATGGGGTCCAGCCTGGGGCTCAGCCTGGAGTTCCTGGGGGTGAGACAGTGTATCCTGGAGGTCCACCTGGAGTTTCTGGAGCTGGCTATCCTGGTGCCCCTGGGGCTGAACCAGGAGCTCCTGGGGCCCAGGAAGGATATCCTGGTGACCAGCCTGGTGTTCCTGGGGTGCAGACATACTATCCTGGCGCCCAAGATGCATATCTTACAGGCCAGTATGGGCAGCCTGCTCCTGGAACACAGATTGCAGGTCTACTGACGGTGCCAACAGGGCCTTCCTTAGGTCCTACACCCCCAGCATCGCCAGCATTAACTCCTCTGCAATATTCGGAGTCTCCCATGTCTGGATCCAGTTTGGCCCCAGCTCGCTATGCCGAGACTGTGGATGCCCTTCGCCAGATGGCCCAGCTGACTGACCTCTACTATGCCTTGAGAGACCAGATCAACAAGCTGGAGCAAAACAAATGTGGTCAATCTGATCTCCAGAGGCTGCAAGACTTGCTCACCAACGCAGGTATGAATTGCAGACACACCAGGTACTCTTCCCAGTGTTATTTGGCAAACAGGATTTATTGGAGGATGGTTTCCCAAAGTGCTGGCTACCCATTTTTTTTGTTTGTAGGATGAGTTTGAAAATATCAGACGATGCTCACCAAAAAAGTTGGGATTTGGAATGCTGGCCCTGACATTTGAGGCTTGGGGATCTCTTAGCCATGTGTGATTTGGTCATTGTTGTTCTTTCCTTGCTTCTGGATAGTTGATAGGAGCCTTGCCAACATCCCACCCAACCTTAATGAACAGCTTGCTGTACTGAAGTCCATGGAAGACAACATGAGAGATGAAAAAGAGAAGGTGAGGATAGCTTGTTTCCATGCATGCGACAAGAATTTGTGCAGCCTGGTTTTCTCAAAAGAAGTACCCCAGAAGCACCGTGTCCTGCAGTTGAAACCACTTTGTGCATTGCTGTAGCATTTTAAATTGTCCATATGCTTGCTTCATTAATTTCTCCCTCAGCTATGACCTGTCCTTAGACAGATTCTTACTCATGGCCCATCTAGCTTAGACTTGTCTGCTCTGCTTGGCAGCAGCTCTGCAGGGTCTTGGGTGGAGATGAGTGTTCCCCAGAAATCATGCTAGATCTATATCCCATGTATTAATAACAACTCGTCAACATTTAATCCTATAATTTGCTTGGTTTTTGTCCTTTCTCGTGTGTTTGTAAATAATAAGTAATGGGTTGCAGACCCTCAAGGACTTCCGTGGAGCATCTTATTTTTCTATGTATCCCTTCTCCCATTATTGCCGGTTTCCCTCCTCCTGGTAGCCCCCATATCCTCTCCGCTATCCCTGGTTCCTTCTCTCTTTCCCCCCATCAGCCACCTACTTTTTATCTGCCCCCTTATTTTCAGCTATATTTATTATTTATTTTCTTCACTTATACCCCACCTTTCTCCCAAGTGGGGAGTCAGAGCATCTTGTATTGTTCTGTCCTCCACTTTATCTTCACAACAATCCTGTGAGGTAGGTTAGGCTGCGGAGTATGTGACTAGCCCAAACAAACCCAGCGAGCTTCCACAGAAGAGTGGGGATTTGAATCTGGGTCTTCCGGATCTTAATCTGAAACTCTAACTGCAACATCACACTAGTTTTCGTGTAGTGGCTGCTGTTGAACAGTAGCAAGCAGCCAGGCTTGCTAGTGGTTGCTGTTGGGACTGGCCCCAATGAGTCCTTCATCAAAGTCCAAAATAGCCCTCAAGAGAGCCCTGTGCCCTGCCCCTGCCTTTTACTGACAGAAACCAAGGCTTGATTGGCAATATTGTTGTGGTTGCTTAGCAACTCCCACAATGGCTATGGTAGACAGCATTCATTTCTTACAGGTATAGGTGCTACTTCTATTAATGTGCAGTGTTTTAGCCACCCAATGTTTTGAGGGTTTCTTTTCTTTTTTAAAGATTTCAGATTTTTCTGCAAACCTGGGGCTTTTCTCAAGGTTATAAAAAGATCTGTCTTGTTTATTCATGGCTCCAGTTCCAAATTTAAGAAGTCACAGATGTTGAGAATTAGATGTTTATAATCCTTTGTCAGTGTCCTCTAGATCTTGAAAGTGAGAAGTTAGCAGAAGGGGCTAGTGGGATGGTTCTTTGGTGGGGCCATTCACTGTCATTGCAGGGAGAATGGGGAGAAGGGGAAAGCCCTCCCGTTTCAGTAGTAACCCTAGGAAGTGGTAGTGAAGAAAAGGGCAGTTCAGTCAACTCGTGAAAACATATGGTTGCCTCTGCATGTCAACAGCCATGATTGTGTTGGAGCAACTGCATATTCGCACAGTGCAGACTGAACAGGCTGTTGCCTCCACCACTGCCATTGTTGATGGTTACTGGTAAGGACAAGCTTTCCCATCCCCCTCAGTTCCCTATAGTAATAATTGATGATTTGCACCCAGGGAACCTTCTCATTGTCCACTGCTGAATATTACTGTTGTCAGGTTAGTCAAAGATATTGAGCCTAAATGGGTAGCCATTTTGCAGCACATTCTGCATATATGTGGCACACAGGGTTCCCTCTAAGCTGAGTTAGTGTGAGCTAGCTCATAGTTTTTTAGCCTTTGGCTCACACGTTTTTGTCTCAGCTCAGGAAGGATGGCTCCAGAGCAAACTGATTCATGCAGCAGCCAAATCGCTCGCTCACAACTTGAATGCCAGTAGCTCACAAAGTAGAACTTTTGCTCACAAGACTTCACAGCTTAGAGGGAACATTGGTGGCACATATGTGTTAAAATGCTCCCTACCCCTTGATGGGCTGATGTGTGTGGTCAGACTACTCCACTGTGGTCTTCTGTACAAGCTCAGTAGCTGCAAACAATGGGGTTGGCTTTATAGCAAAGGTAAAGGTCTTAAGGCGGAACCACCTACATGTTTGCTGGAGATATGAGGCTGCTTCTGAAAACCACATCCCTCTTGAGTTATCTTAATCCATCTTCATATGTAGTCCACTTTGTGATACATAACGTCCATTTTATCACCACCAGTGATATTGAACATGGATTTTAAAATGCACATTGTGATGATGTCGCATTACTGGGGATCAGGAATCAAGAAGACTCAACACATGGGTGCCAGTTTGGGAGAACAGCCCCATATATCTGCTGATCTTCAAAGGAAGGGCTTCTTTTCTCAGACACTAATGTAATTATTCATTCTGAACTTTGTTAGTCAGACCTAGGGATGGGCACAACCCAGAAAAATGGAGGTTTGTGGAGGTTCGTAGCTCGTGAGGTTTCATGAGCACCGAACCACACATTTCCACGAGCCTTTCCGTTTTATGAGCTGGTTCAAGGTTTGTGGGTTTGTGGCATGGTAGAACAGCCCTCTTGCAGGCGAGAGACACCAAACGTTCAGTGAGTCTTCAGCTGACTGTCCTCTACCTGCCCTCCATGTTTGATAAAGATTGGATTTAGGGGGGCCAAGTTACAGGCCCCCAAAGCAGATGCCCCAGGAAAGTGCTCTTGTTGAATGATCCCCTGCAAACTAGAGGCATCAAACTCGCAGCAGACCTCCCCAGGATGCCCTTCTACCTGCCCTCCAAGTTGTGTGCAGATTGGCTTTGGATTACAGCTCATCTCCAGACTGCTGCCAAGTAAACACAGCTGTGTGTGAGCTGGGGGTATAGCCGTTTTGCTCCCATAGAGCAGAATGGGAGCTCTCTGGTTGGCTTTGGAGGGCCACTATAGGCATTTCCAGGGCTGCAAAAGGTTTGCAGAAGTCCATCTCCCCATTGCCTTGACAATTGATTGATCAGCGCAAGCATGTCTGGCCAACAAAACACACCCACGAGCCCCAGTGAAAAACACAGCAGGTCATGAGACATGCGATTGCACAAGCCGTGCCTTGCTTGCGAACCACAACCTGACCCAAATTCATTATGATTTTTGGCTCATGGTTCGTTTTGTGCTCATCCCTTGTTAGACCTTCTCCAATAACAGCTACAGCTCTCATTTTGTAACTCTACGTCCTGCGTGATAGCTGTGTCACAAATCCAGGCGTTGATAAAGTCATGTTTTATGTTATTGCTGCTGCCTTAAAAAATTAACAAAAATGCAAACATATTTTGATTTTTCTTTGCTGTCCTCTTTTCTCTTCAGCCGCATTCCCTCTTTCGCCCTAGCACTTTCCCCTCCCATCTCAAGCTCATTCACTGTGATTCACTTACTGCAGTGTATGAAATAAAAATAATTTGGACTTTATCAAATCTGCTTTCCTCCTGACCATTCTGGGTCATACTGTCCTGTTCTCACCCTGAGGATTCAGATCTATGCAGAGTTAATGGTTCAGTTAGATGCATAAAATAACGCATCATCAGAAGCCACTGGGTTACAGTAGGCCAGTGATGGTGAACCTTTTAGAGACTGAGTGCCCAAACTGTGACCCAAAACCCACTTATTCATCGCAAAGTGCCAACACGGCAATTTAACCTGAGTACTGAGGTTTTACTTTAGAAAAGACAACTCATACGTTAACTTAAGATGATCCAAACAAAGTAAGGAAAGCAATCCCAAATGCTTTCATTTACTTCAAATTATTTGGCAGAGAATTTGACACTTTAATGACGGTCTGGGCCTGGCTGGGGCGATGGCAGGCGTGCCCACAGAGAGGGCTCTGAGTGCCACCTCTGGCACCCGTGCCATAGGTTCGCCACCACTGCAGTAGGCTATCCAGCTTGTCCTGCTGCTGTTTCTTCCTTGTGTCCCCCTTCCTGGTTCTTGCTGTATTGCTATTTTTGATCTCCTGATTGAGCCTGGCTTCAGCCATGCGTCTCATCCATTACAAGCACAGTATACTAGGACATTACAATGCCCTTCTTTCTTACCAATCAGTCAATTTAAGATTAAATTCAGCTGTGATACATGCAAGCATTAGTCCCTAGAAGCAGGCATTACCTGCAATAGGGAGGAATGTGTTCCTTTACTACAAAGAACAGGTCAGCATGTTGACTAAATTCCTTGAGAGGCAACCATCAGTTTAGGGCTCCTCATTCTTTCCAATTGTGATTCTAGATAGACAAGATTCAGAGAATTATTGAAGGAGATCTGGCGGCAGTGCCACTCACAGATGCTACGCCAGTGGAGGGAGCTGGTCAGATCAACATGCAGATAGGTTATCTCAGGTAAAACTAGGAAGATGAAGCACATAAGGGGGGGGAATCGAATCTCAGCTTCGTTGGCTAATGCCGTGATTTGTGGCGGCAGGCCTCCTCCAAACGACCATTGCCTGTATATTGTGAAGTTCACGTGCAGCAGTAAAATAGAGAGCCCTGTTCTATCTTCATCTCATAAAATCATCACGATAATACGAAGAGCACATAAAAAAAAAAAAACACACCATACATCTCAACCCATTTATCTGTATTTAGATCAATGGAACACCTTGTCTTTCTCAGTTGTGGGACTATATATTTTTTTCTCCATCAAGACACAGCCGATTGATGGCAACTCCTCATGGGGGTTTTCATGGCAAGAGACGTTCAGAGGTGGTTTGCCATTGCCAGCCTCCTAGACTTTCTTGGGGGTCTCCCATGCAATGAATGATCTGAGGAGACTGGGCTACTTTTTGTAGCAGGAACTCCTCCGCATATTAGGCGACACACCCCTAATGTAGCCAATCCTCCAAGAGCTTACAGAGCTCTTCTTACAGGGGCTACTGTAAGCTCTTGGAGGATTGGCTACATTAGGGGTGTGTCGCCTAATATGCGGAGGAGTTCCTGCTACAAAAAGAGCCCTGCATCCAGGTCAGGGCATAACTATAATAAGTTCCTAATATGCGGAGGAGTTCCTGCTACAAAAAGAGCCCTGCATCCAGGTCAGGGCATAACTATAATAAGTTCCTGTAAAGCTGTTCCAAAGACTTTTTTTGTTTGGGGGAGTATAAATGAGGGATGATTAAAAATTCACTTTCCCCCCAGCAAAACACCGTTTGGTCAATATTCATACTTTGAATGTTTCCCCCCCCCTGATGAATTATAAAAAGAAAACGCCTCTCAACACATTTATGTTATTCCTGTGCACACCCTGTAGAATTTTGAAATATCCAAAAAGGCTCTTCGCTGTCCTTCAGGTAACGGGTGCTGGTTTCTTTTTAAACCATGAGATGTTTCAGAAAGTTGGCTGAAAAGGAACAAAGATTGGGTTACCCATTCAAACGTCGTTTGACTTTGAGGCAAGGCCTGCATGGTGCTTAAGAAGTCATTGTTGACAGAAGCGAGAGGACCGAAGACAAACGTGGGACAGAGCTGTTACCATGTCAGAAAGTTTTAAAGAGCTGTTCTAAGTCCCTTCCCCTATCCCATAGCCTCGCAAGCCCAACTTGTTTCTCCGTAGGTCAGGTTTTTGGGAGCCCCTGGCAAGATGCTCTCCAGCAGGCTCCTTCCTAAGTACTGCCATGACTGGGACAGAGAAAAAAGGCAAGCAAATAGCAGCCACCTGCTCCCAGTTGCCATTGTTTCTCATACACTGGCCATGGTGACTAAACATCTGCTGCCACCACGAAGTTGCCACTAGCCTGCCTGTCCAGCTGGTTTGGATGGTGGCTGTTGCCATTGTTTTCTCAGGGAAGTGAGTGAACAGTGGCCAGTGGTGTGCCGCAACCATTGATGCTTGCCCTCTACCTGGCAGAAGAGGAGGGGGCCCCTGTGTGTACCCGTGGCAGTGGTGTGTATGCGAAGGAAGAGAGGAGGGTCGCACAGGCTGAATCTCTAGAAGGGTACAGTCCATTACAGTACAGTACCGTTAATATCACTCCCCCCACCCCAAGAGAGAGAGCAGGTTTTGATTGCTACTGCTGCACTGTAGCAAGCCTTCCCAAGTCCCGCCCCACCAGCCCTCAGCAGTTGCCCAATAATGGTGCTGGCTTGTCTTCCTTCCCACATACATGACTTTGCATTACTGGGGAAAGTAGCTGGAAGAGGAATTACTGGCACATTGCACATACCGTCAGGACTGTTTGCATTGCCACATGATACAATCTCCCTTATAAATAAAAGCCAAATGGTGGTGGCACTTCTCTAGAACATTCCACACGCTCCAAAATCAGTTCGCTCTCTGATCTGTCATTCAGAGGGTCTCCCTATCCACTGGCTGCTTTGCCTGAGTCCTGCCTCCAACATTCTGAACATTTTGCTGTTCCTCCCCCCCCCATAGCCAGTCAGTACCCAGAGGTTATTTGCATATGCAGCCTCATTGGCCTCTGCCTCGGAACACAGAGGTCATGTGCATATGCGACTTGATTGGCTTTTGCCTCTAACATTCTAAGCAGTTTTGCTGTTCTGAGGTAAAATGTGTCCAATCTCCAGGTGAGGGCTGGAGATCACTCAGAATTACAACTGCTTTCCAGATGGCAGAGATCAGTTCCCCTGGAGAAAATGGTGGGCTCTGTATCCTTATATGCTGCTGAGGTGGCCCCCGTATGACAGCCAATGTGACGTAGCAGTCAGGGCTTCAGAGCACGGGAGAGGCTGCAGGTGTGTGGGGGGGGGTGGAAAGCTGAAGAGTGAGGGGGAAATAAACGTAGGTTGATGATTGGCTGGGCAGGAGATAGGGTTGCCAACTCCAGGTGGGAAATGCCTGGAGAGGTGAGGGATGGAGCCTGGAGAGGGTGAGGTTTCAGGAGGCGTGGGACCTCGGACAGGTACAAAGCCATAGACTCCACCCTCCAAACCAACTATTCCCTTCTGGGGAACCATCGTTGCCAATCTCCAGGTGAGGGCTGGAGATCACTCAAAATTACAACTGTTCTTTAGGGTAGCAGAGATCAGTTCCTCTGGAGAAAATGGTGGACTCAGTGTCATTATACCCTGATGAGGTCACCACAGCAAATTGACACTGAGTGTCCAAGGCCGGGGCACCCGCCCAGAGCCTCTTTCTAGAGGTCGTTGTATTTATTTCCACAACGGGCCTTTTTCCTAGTGGTAAATAAAATTAAAAGCTCTGGTCTTGGCAGAATGGGATGAGGAGATGCACTGAAGCTTCTGGGGGGCTGGTTTCAGCAGGTTACCCTACCCTACCCCCCCCCAGCATCCCATGTGTGCATTGGAGAGCTAGGGAACAGACAAAACACACTTATACTCATAAATTGTTTCTCATGTTTGATGCATAATTCTTCTCTGTTGTTGGCTTTGCGGTACAGAGGAACAGTGCAGGAGATAGAGAAAGAGCTAAAGGAGCTGAGAGACAAGCAGGATAAGGGGAAAGCGACACTGGAGCAGTCGGTGACCGACACTGCCCTTGACTTACAAGAACAGGTCAGCAAGAGGGATCAGGACCAGCACAAGCGGCTTGCCATGCTCTTCATTCCTGGCTGGCTACCCTGAGTTCCTCCTGGCCATTCATTCCTCTCTCCCTTCTGTCTTTTCAACGCCAAGCCAAATCTTTTACTTAGGTGGGCTTTCAGGGAATGAAGAAGCTGGTGTGTTAACTACTTTCCCACACTGCTGCTGTTTTTATTTTCTTTGAGGGCTTTATTAGACGTGTGGTATGTTATATTGCCTGCTTTTAATTATTTGTTAGCTGCCGTGAATACTACGGCAGAAAGGTGGTCTGTAAATGGTTTAAATAAACAAATGTGGGCACACAAGTGGTTTAAATACATAAATAAATGTGGTTTAGAGCATTTGCCAACCGCATCTCCCCCCCCCTTGGGACCCTTGCCCATTGCAAGAGGCATCTTGCCCATGAATGACATAATCCTACACTGCCAAGGATAAGCCCTGATATGGGGCAAGTCAGCCTAGAAACTGAAGATTAAGATTGTCCAAGTTCTCTTTATGTTGGCTTCTGCCTTGCAGTTAGTGCTGAATAACAATGAGGAGTATCAACAATATTGTCTGCTTGATTAGCTTGCCAGACCCACTTGCCAGCTACCCAAAACATGCATATGACCTAATGAGCTGGTAAATGTTTTATACTTGCAGCCACAACTGGCATAAATCCCACTTTACTGAACAAGAGTTTGGAATCATGCTGTCCATACTAAAAACTTTGATTCGCATGGGTTATGTCTGGGTTCCCTGCTCCATCATTCAGTCAGATGTGAGCTGCCGTTTCCCTTCAATTCCCACGTGGTGCCTAATTCAGATTGAGACCATGTCACATGAAGAGGAAGTGCCTGAGCCTCCCCCCCCCCGCATTTTTTCCCCAACCTGAAATGGTCCCAAGGCACCCTTTGCCCCATTGGGGGCTTCATGGGCACTGCTTGGGTACCCACAGGTTTCCCCTGCTGAGCAGCTAGACACCCCTGGGCCACTTCAGGTCAGGAAAAAGCACAGTGCGGAAGCCCCTTTTCCGTATGCACCACAGTCCTGATCCAAATGGGACACAATACCTGTGAGAATTGAGGGGCACTCTCCACTCGCACCTGATTGAAAGTCGGGAAGTTAGATACAACCCACATAAAATATAGTGTGTGAATTGGCCCACACATGTGACAGTCTGAATTAATAAGTGAACCTTGTGGAAAGTTGTAGGGAGAGGTGTCATGTGGTCACTTTCCTTCTAGAAATCCCAAAGGGCAGTTTTGACTTAGATGAAAATGCTACTTTTACACAGAGTAGCTAGCATCAACTTCCTTTCTCTTCTCTCATCCAGGTCAGGATAAAGCCCTTTGGCCCCCAAACTGCAGAATCCCAAAGTCTACTACTTGGGTAGTTGCCTTTTCTAGGTTTTCAAAAGAAAAACTCCCTCTGTAATCCTCTATATTGGGCAGTATAGTCATACTCTTGAGGGCTGGCTGCAGGCTTTTATAGGGCATAAGGTGTTCATAGGCAGATGTCCCTCTGTCTCAGCTCCCTTCCTGCTATTAAAACTCCCCTTCCCTTTCTTCATCTATGGGGAGCAGAATGGGACCCTGTCAGTCTCAGTGGTATACAAGGAGCAGTACTATTTCTATATCCCCCTTTGCATAAAGAGAACAACCAAGATTTTCATGAAACCAAAAGTTCTCCATAAGAGAAACCTGATTCTGCTTCCCTCTCCCCAGGTCTGATGAAAATAGAGATATTCTGCTGTCAGATTCCCTTAACCAGACTCCTCCTTCTCTCCTTGCTTGCCCACAGTTAGACAAGCTTAGATCGGTCATGGAGAACATGATGGCCTCTTCATCCACCTTGCTGTCCATGAGCATGCCACCTACTCCAGAACCTGGGGTGGCTCAGGTCCAGCAGAGCACATGCGCAGCTTGCAGCTTAGATGTCAGTGAGAAAGTAAGCCAGCTGTTCAAGCGTTATGAGCAGCTGCAGGATTCAATAAACAAGTTCATGTTGAGGCAGGCAGAAGGCAAAATGGCCAAGAAACCCAAGGAGCGCCAGGTAAGGCCAACAAGAGAACCTGGCTCAGTTGAGCTCAACCTTCAAATGTGTATCTGAAGACAGAGGAAATCCCCGCAGAAGGTAACATGGGCTCATTTGATGCTTGTTGGAAAGGCCTGAAAGGGGATTGTTTGTTATCTATGCAGGTGGCTTCAGCGGCCTGACATCTAGACTTAGAAGCTGGGGTTCAGTGTAGCATTTCTGCAGATAGAACAATTTCCACCAGTGGAAATGTTCCACCGGTGGAAATGAACTCAATTCAAGCCAGTAAGTTTTGATTGAAGCACCAAGAGACAAGAAAGGGAGGTGGGAAGAGTGATGGGAGTGCTTGAGCACAGTGCACATGTTGGGTTCACGTCTGACCTCATTTTAATTGCCATCTGTTGTAACATCTGAATGCACCCTTAGAAGCAGAGGCCGCCAAATTGTAGGTCCAAAAGAGATCAGAAGATCATGCAACTCAACCTGCTCACCTAATGCATATATTATCCTACCTTCTCTGTATACAAGATTCCTGTATCTCTCCCCCTACCCTACCTCCACTGCTGTCCTCCTGTTCCAAAAAGGTGGTGGGTGAGTCTCTGGGACATTCAGACGTATCTGAGGTGGCAGCTCTTCACCTACAATGCACAAGCAGGTGTAGCGGATGGTGTTCTGAGAATGGTTCCCGGCCAGGTCCTAAGAGTCTTCAAATCATCCTAGCTTAACCAACAGCCCCTGCCACCACGTCACATGTAAAAATGTGTCATTTGCATCATCTAAATGTTTGGCTGGTTAACTTTTCATGCCTCTTGGGAGGCTATTTCTTATCTGCCTTCCTCCTTTTGCTCAGCTGCAGTAGGATTCAGTAGGTTTCAAGCAGCCTGCCTGAGTTTAAGTGGCATTAAAGACCAAGAGCCTCCTCTATTTTGCTCTTCTGTTGTTCAGTTCCATGGCCTTCTGTCTCAACTCTGATTTTAAATAGCTGTAGGAAGTGAGGCAAGAGCTGTCGTGTCTCAAGTGGTTAAGACGCTGAACTGCAGGCTGTGGAAAGTCGGTAGTTCAGCAGTTCGAGACCCGGGTTACCGCATGACGGAGTGAGCTCCCGTCTCTAGTTCCAGCTCCTGCCAACCTAGCAGTTCGAAAGCAAGAAATTGCAAGTAGATAAATAGGTACCACTTCGGTGGGAAGGTAACAGCGTTCCGTGCGCCTTGGTGTTTAGTCATGCCGGCCACATGACCACGGAAACGTCTTCGGACAGCGCTGGCTCTTCGGCTTTGAAATGGAGACGAGCACCGCAACCCTAGAGTCGGATTCGACTGGCTTTCGAGCAAGGGAACCTTTACCTTTTACTAGGAAGTGAGGCAGCCGTTAGTTAAGTTCCTGGAAGATGAAAATCATCTTTGAGGCCGCTAAGCCAGTGCTTGCCTCTGTTTTCACTAGATGATCATGAGAACCGCATGGTCTGATGGCTTTTTAAAATGGGGTCTAGCTTTCAAAGGATGGGAAGTTAATCATAGGACTTCTGTCGGGCTGTATTTGAACATCACAAAGAAACAGCCATCGGGTCAAGCCCAAAATCCTCTGGACCATGTGTTCTCCCCACCCCCTTCTCCCCTGGCATGCTGAGCCAAGGCTGAAGATTTCCTGTCTTAAGACATCTTCAGTCTAACCACCGTTTGTTGTGATTCTCAAATCTGAGCACTTCAACATATAATTTTCCCCCCTTGCCCACAAACTGAGATTCTAAATCAGGATTGGGAGGGAGGGGGAAGTGTGAGAATTGCAATTTTCTTTTTATGTACTGACTCTTTGAGGGCATTTCAACATTGCTGCATCGGATCTGTTCTGGATCAACTGGGATTCAACTATGTGGGCAGGCAATGGTCCCATGAGTCCTTATCATAGTATCATCATCTTGGTGGAAGTGGTGTGTGCCGACACTATGGGGAAAGCTTATGAGACCCCATGAATGGGATTGGGTCAAGCACCCTGAAAAGGCCACTCCCATGCAGCTAGGGTAATTTTAAACAGTCCTTCTCACAGGGAATACAACATTGTTACAGTGGCTAGATATGAACATGTAAACCTGTGAAGCTGCCTTATAGCAAGCTAGGCCATTGTCCGTCTAGTTCAGTACTGACTCCTCTAATTGGCAGGAACTTTCCAAGGTTTCAGGTGGGAAAAGGTAATTTCCATCACTTTTAAACTAGAGATTGGCCCTTTTGCATGCAAAGCAGGTGCCATGTTGCTGCACAACTGACCCTCTGAAAAAATAATCCATCTAGCCCATATTCTCTCTTTGTGTGCAGTTCCTCAGAAATTTCTTGTGGAAATGAATGGAAACTGTGCACTCACAAACTCTTGCTGGTTCTTTTTCAAGGCAGTGTCCAAGAAACCCCTTGTTCATCCCTCCTCCAATCCCAGCTTCCTAAGACCAGAGCTTTAAAGGTGTCCTAAGCAGGAACTGGGAAACCATAGGCTGGCCCCCAGTATATCATTTGAAGCCTTTATTGCTTTATTGGCTCTACAAACAGGAGGAAGAGATGCTCAACAACATCCAAACGACTATCCTCCAAGTTCAAGATGACTGTGAGAAGCTGAACACCACGACAAGCACTCTCATAGATGATCATCACCAGAAGCAGAGAGAGATCAGTGTAGGTGATCTTGACGCACAGCAGGGTGATGTCCAACATCAGACGAAGGGGACCCTCCTGGTAGATGCCACGAGCATTCCACATCTTGGTACTGGGTGACAATGCTGCACAGACAAGCGATCTGTATACTGTGCAGGAAACAGGCTTATATTTTTAGTAACTCACTTTGACCCCTTGTTCTTTACAGATGTTGTTCAAGTCCCTGGAGAAGCTAGAAAAAGATAAAGCTGACAAAGACCGGATTGTGATGGAGATCGATGTGGTAAGGAGTTGAAATGGATGTCTTCTTGTAGTTGTGCACGTCAAGAACCAGCAATGGGCTCCATTTACAGAAGGCCATACATATAGTAGATGTAGGCCTGGGTTCTGCTCTCAGCTCCATAGCTGATAAACAGAGCAGCTGTGAGAAGTTTCCTTCCTTCCTTCCTTCCTTCCTTCCTTCCTTCCTTCCTTCCTTCCTTTTTTTTTGTAGAAGGATGCTGATCTTTGCCTTCCTTGGAGGACTGGGGAAATTCAAAACTACATGCACTGGAGGGAAGGAGAGGGGAACTGTTTGCAATACAGCTCAACCCAAAGATCATCCCCATCTTGTGTCCTTCTTTCCAGAAAGCAGATAAGACTGCCCTGGCTGCAAAGGTCAGCCGTACCCAGTTTGATGCCACCACAGAGCAGTTGCATAAGATGATGCAAGAGCTGCTAAACAAGATGGCTGGGCAAGAGCAAGACTGGCAGAAGATGCTTGACAAACTCTTGATGGAAATGGACTCCAAGGTAAATGAATTGTGGGTCTCTTCGGTCAGCCGCAGCAGCCTAGCCAATCAGGGCCAATGTAATTATCTGACCATTGCTTCCCATTTGGGGGGGGGGTTTGAATCCCCCTAAGGGGAGTTTTTTATTGGTTTTTTCACAAAACTACAAAGTATAACTGAAAATATAAGAAGGGAAACTACATCTAAGGAGAAAGAAAAGAAACCCACTAATAACTAAAACCCCAAGAGTGGGAGATCAATACATCAGCTTATCTCAGTGTTAATCTAAAATGCTAGTAATACATTGAACATAGTCTAGTCGGTTATGCTAAGTTATTTATCTTTTAACCATCCATTTATCTGTTAAATGAAACCCTCAGAGCATCCCAAAGTTATTATTAAGTTTTCAGGCACAATTCAGAGTCCTTCAGCCTTTATTTTCTCATATCTTTTCTTATCCTCAATTTATATGGACTTTTGGGGGCTGCCGCCCCCTTTTCAGAGAGAGAGTCCTCATCAGAAGACACCGAGCCTAACTCGCCATCCGATTTGCTTTCTTCTTCCTTCTTGTCCTCCGCTGGTTCCCCCAGCTGTGCTCTCAGAAACTCACGAGCTTTAGGAACAGAGTTAACCTTTTCTTTTTTATCGTGGAGCTTGAAAATGATGCCTTCTGGAATTAACCATCTATAACTGATGCCATTTGTTTGTAAAAAAAAAAGGATTAAGTCTTTATATTTTTTTTCTCTTCTGTCTTATTTCAAATGGAATGTCTTTTAAAATCCTGATATTATTGTCCCCAATTTTCAAGGGTGTTCCCGTAGTTGCTTTCAAAATAGAATCTCTCACATGTCTCTTTGAGAATCTGACTACTATTTCCCCAGGCAGATTATTTTTCTTGATGTATAAGGAATACGACCTGTAGACCACATCAATCTCACTGTAAAGATATTCCGCTGTCAAATCTGTCATTGGGGCTATTGCATCACTCAACAGTTGCTTCAGATTCTCTCCTTTGGATTCCGGGACCCCTTGGAACCGTAGGACCAAATTTGCTTTCTCCATTTGCAGCTGTAAAAGTTGTGACTCTTCCGTAGCTTGTTTCATTTCCATCTTTTGCGCCTTTTTCTTAATTTTTTAGTATTGGCGTCCATTTCCTTCACCTCTGCCATTTGCTCCGTTGCATTTAAAGATTTAGTCAGTTGTAGCTGCTGTGAAGCCAAACTCTGACAATTGTTGACAATTGTTGCTTGATATTAGTCATCTCATCCAGCATAGGGCACAAGGAATCTGCCAACATTTTAGAAAGATCAGTGGTCTCTTCTGTTCGAGGACTGCCCACTAGTTTTGCTTTCAACAGTTTGTCTTTATCTGGTTTCTTTCCCGACATCTTTTTGGATTATTTACTTTTCTAAAAGTTGCTAAAGTCTCTGATATTCACCCATATGCTTACCTGCGCTCTGGTAAGTCTCTTAAAACAGATTTAGACGCTTATTTTTCCACTCCTCCCTCTTTATTTCCGTGTTTTCGTTTATGCGTTTGGGAGGGGCCCCTCCCCCGCTCGCTTTTCGTCGCTCATTAAGGGGGGGCAGCTTTCTTTTAAAATCTTCATGCTCGCTTCAACCCGACTCACAGTTCATTGCCGGCCAACCGGCCACGCTCAGCATCGGTTTTTCTCACCCGATCTCCAATGCTTGTCCCAGTCAGCCACACTAATTCCACGCGGACACTCAGCAGCAGGACCTTCAGGGCGGAGGAGTGCCTCAATTCTCCAGCATCGCACCAGTGAAGAGGTCGCCCTCAAAAGCCCCCTGGCTAGGAGCCTTTTACCAAGGCTCGGGGGGGGGTTGCAACCCGTCGCACCCCCTCCTACATGCTGGTGTGCAGATTGCATATCCGGGACATCCGGGAGATGCGTCTGCCTGCGTGTCGCCATAAACCGGAAGTCCATTGCTTCCCATTGTTCATGGCTTAGTGCTGAAGTAGGCAATCAGGACTGCCCAAACTATCTCCTCTCAGGACTCATAAGCATTCATTGCTGGAAGCCAGCAGTGCATCTTGCCTGGCTTGCACTAGTCCCTGTGACCCAGGTGGACCCAGAGGGGTAGGAAGGTCTGAAGTGCACATTATGCATGGTTCTTGCTGAACCATGCTGAAACACATCAGACCTCCCTAAATTGGTGCACCTGGAAGTGCTCCCTCTGCTGACTTGCCAGCTTAAGGCCAGACCAAGCTACAAGAAAGAAAAAGTTTTTCTTGCTCTACAGGTTAATCCTCCAGTCCTCATACTCCTCCCTAGGGGTGTGCGCTCAGTATATACTGAGCTGAATAAATACCTGAAAAATACCGATAAGAGTTGTGCCGCTAAGGGAATGTATTTTAACTTTAAATACCTTCCCTTCCCTCTTGGGCTTGTGCCGCCTCTGTGGAGCAATGCCCAAGAGGGAGGGGAAAGTATTTAAACTTTACCTTCCCTTTGCTCTGGAGTCATGCTGCAGAGGCAGCATGAGCCTGAGAGGGAAGGGGTAGAAAAGGTATTTAAAATTTAAATACCTTCCCTTCACTCACAGTCGTGCTGCAGCATGGCTCCAGGAGTGAAATTTTCCATTATACTCTATGGGTACGGTCCCCATAGGGTATAATGGAGCTGAATATATTTGGGTTTCCAAATATTGACCCAAATACCAGTGAAATACTGATACTGGTATCAGGTATATTTGGGAGTACATATATACCAGCGAGTATATAGTACCCTATATACCAGCCAGTAAATAGTGGGAGCATTCTATCAGCCCACCAGTGGTCTGAGGCTAACGCGAAGACTGGTTGGCGCAGCGATGCCTGGGCAACAGATTCCGGTGCTCCTGGGGAGGGGAAAGTATAGCAGTGGGTCCAGGCAGAGAGCTAAGGGAGCGGCACAGAGAAACAGAATGGCTCGGCACCCTTCCAGCCTGCGACCCATCCTGAAAGTTGTCGGAAGTGGGGCTAGGATGGATGACCCCCCTCCGACATTGGTGCTGTGCAACACCAGGTCTATAAATAATTGCCATGGTCCTTCAGGACTTCCCGTTGGAACAGAAGGTAGACCTGGCATGCATAACTGAGACCTGGGTGCGCGATGGGGAGACCGTAGCTCTCTCCCAGCTTGCCCCGGTCCTACACCAATCACGGACTAGGGGGCGGGGGAGAGTGGCTATTTTCATTCGGGAGGTTTACTCCATCAGGGCGCTCCCGCTGTTGGAGATCTCGGGCACTGGGTGTGTCAGCCTGGTGTGGGAAGCCGGGGAGAGTGGTGATTTGGCTGGTGTACCGACTGCCTAACGCACCGGCCAATAGCCTGCCGTCACTGATGGAGGCCGTATCAGGCTGGATGCTGGAACACCTAGGCTAATAGTCCTGGGTGACTTCAACGTCCATGCCGATGACATGGCTTCCATTCAGGCAGCTGGCCTAGTGTCATCCATGGCGGCGCTGGGACTCTCCCAATTTATAACAACCACTCACCATGCTGGGCACACACTCAATTTGATCTTTGCGGCTGGAGTAAGAGTGGACCGAATTACTGCTTTGGCAGTACCATGGTTGGACCACCATGCCCTGTGGGTCCATCTGAATGTTCCACCCCGACCCTGTTTAGGTGGCGAGGGTATTTTAGCCCACCTGCGGAGCCAAATGGACCCAGTGTGGCTCCAAATGGCCCTCCAGGATCCGATGGCCCCCTGGCGGCTCGTTGGATGAGCTTGTAGATGATTGGCACAGTCGGCTCTCTGCAGCCATCGATGAGATTGCTCCCCAGCGCCCACTGCGCCCTCACTCTAGGCTTGCTCCCTGGTTTACCCAGGAGTTGCGGCTTATGAAACGAGAATTGAGATGGCTAGAGAGACGGTCGAGCTGTGCTCGAGACGAAGCTACAAGAGCATCTTATAGGATGTTTATGAGATCCTATGAGATGGCAGTCAAAGCTGCTAAGAGAGAGTTCTATGCGGCTACGATTGCGTCTGCGAAATCACGCCTAGCCCAATTGTTTAGATCGATTCGGTCTATAACAGCTCTGCCACAGGGCAGATCAAACGCTAGGGAATTGGATATTGGCTGTGAGGCATTTGCAAGCTATTTTGCGGATAAAGTCTTGGCGCTCCACCGTGACCTCCCTGCCACAGTTGAAACAGTGAGTGAACTCAAGGCCCCTTGCGCATCTTCAGTTCCGGCTTTAGGTTATTTCAGCCCGCTCAGCCTGGAGGAAGTCGACAGATTGCTCGCAGCTGTATGCCCAACCACATGCAGCCTTGATCCGTGCCCTCCCTGGCTCATTAAAGCGGGCCATGAGGGGTTTCGAGGTGCCCTAAGGGAGATTATCAACAAGTCCCTCTCTGACGGGCGGTTCCTGGGGGCACTCAAGGAAGCGATGGTCCGCCCTCTCCTGAAAAAACCATCTCTGGATCCGGCCAAATTGGCCAACTATCGGCTGGTTTCCAATTTGCCCTATTTGGGCAAATTAATTGAGAGGGCGGTGGCAATACAGTTGGAGGGCTTCCTGGATGACACTTCCATATTAGATCCCTTCCAGTCCGGCTTTTGCCTGGGACATGGGACGGAAACAGCGCTGTTCACTCTTACTGATGACCTCCGAAGGCATCTGTATCGGGACAGCTCGGCAGTACTGATGCTGTTGGATCTGTCGGCTGCGTTCGACGCGGTCGACCATCGGTTGCTGACCGACTGCCTCATTGATATGGGGATACAGGGGCTTGTCTTGCAATGGCTTGCTTCCTTTCTCCAGGGTCGGTGACAAAGGGTGGTGCTAGGGGAACAGCAGTCCAGGAGACATCTGCTTGATTGCAGAGTGCCTCAGGGGGAAGTGCTTTCCATGATGTTATTTAGCATCTATATGCGCCCCCTTGCTCAGAGGTATGGACTGGGTTGTCACCAGTTGGACTCCAGACCGGAAGATCTGGACCAGGCTTGGCAAGCCATGACTGGTTGGCTCAGACTGAGTCAGCTTAAATTAAATCCGGCGAAGATGGATTTCCTGTGCCTGAGTCAGGGTTGTTCGGGGATTGGAATCCCGCTCCCGACCTTCGATGGGGCACCATTAGTGCCAGCTCTGGAGGTTAGGAGTTTGGGAGTGCTCCTGGATCCCTCCTTAACAATGGAGGCCCAGGTAGCAGCCACTACTAAGTCGGCCTTTTACCATCTTCGGCTGATTCGGAAGTTGGTTCCCTTCCTCGATTGCAACAACCTGGCTACAGTGATCCATGTGATGGTCACCTCAAGATTAGACTTCTGTAACACTCTCTACATGGGGCTGCCCTTGTCCCAAATCCAGAAGCTGCAGCTAGTGCAGAACGCTGCAGCCGGGCTTCTGATGGGTCTCCCTTGATGGGAGCACATCCGGCCTGTGTTGAAGACAATAGCATACCGAATTTGCTTCAAGGTGCTGGTACTTACCTTTAAAGCCCTATATGGCCAGGGTCAGACATACCTGAGGGACTGCCATTCCCCATACATACCCCAAAGAGCACTACAGTCGGGGTCACAACATTGACTAATCATTCCAGGCCCTAAGGATACCAGGCTTGCTGTTATTAGGGCCAGGGCCTTCTCAGTGGCAGCTCCTCACTGGTGGAGATCAAGGTCCTGCGGGATCTTTTACAGTTCCTCAGGGCCTGCAAGATGGAGCTCTTCCACCAGGCTTTCAATTAGGAGCCACCTACCACTATTATTAACATCTGTGGTAAAGGGCCAGCCCAGTTTGGTGATCAAGTCACATCGTCGTGGGACACAGGAAGATCACTGAGTCAGGAACTTTGGTGTTACATCTAAACCACACTTTTTTTTCTTGGTGCTCCCCAAAGGGGATTTTTTTATTTGCATTTTCTATAAACTACAAACTATAAAACTACAATGAAATCAGGGCAGGGAACTACATACTATGAGTGAAAGTAAAGAAAACCCACTAAAAACCCAAGAGATGGTGGTCATACAAACTGCTTAGCAAAATTAGCTTGTAGGTCATAATTCAATTCAAATTTGTTGAATGTGGTCATCTAACAATCAATTTATACTAATAATCTGACTTTAAACACTTCTACTTCTGACTTCTTAAAAAGCAATATAAGACTTATAACAATACTAAGGTTGTTAGTACTAACCTTGGAAGATAGTAGAACATTGTCATTAGAAGGTCATGACCAAAAATGGGGTGGCATTCTTACGTTTGGTATGACGAGGATAAAGTGCATTCTATATTTAATCAACATGTATTAAGAAGAGCTTTAAACAAGGTTTGGAATGAGATAAAAGAAAAATTTTATAGGAAAACTGCTAGATGGGTAGCACCGTTCGAGGCCTTTGTAATGCCATCTCTTCTGGTAAAGGAGAAAAAGGCTAGTTATAATATATTATTAGAAAAGAATAATGTTTTAAAAACAGAAGAGAAATTAAGAAAGGAACATCAAATTATACTAACATGGTGGGAGTGCGCTCTTCTACAAGATAGATATGGTAGAGATAAAATTAGGGGTTTCGAAGATACAAATAATCATTTGGATAAAATATGGCTGTCATCTAGTGATAAATTAATCCAAAAACTATACAGGTTTGTGTTAGAAGATTATGAACTGGATGAAAATGTTAAATCAGTCATGATATCATGGATGCAAGATATGGGCAAACAGGTAGAAGATGAGCAATGGGATTCTATATGGCATTCGACCAAGTTCATGAGAGCTATTGCATATAAAGAAAACATTTATAAAATGTTTATATCACAGATGGTACTGGTCCCCAGATAAAATTGCAAAATGTTATCCTCAAGCATCCAACAGATGTTGGAAATGTAAAAAAAATGTGGGGACATTCTACCATATGTGGTGGAAATGTTGTAAAATAAGTAAGTTTTGGGAAATGGTGCAAAAAATTATCTGTGAAATATTGAATATAGAGATTGAATTTTCACCTGAAATATACCTATTGAATATAATCCCGAGAGGGTATAAAAAACAAGATAAATATTTGATAGCATATATAGTAACTGTGGCCCGTATATTAGTGGCAAGAAATTGGAAGACGGACAAAGTACCCACAAAAGAGGAATTAACAACTAAACTTATGGAATTAGCGCAAATGGATAATTTGAGTTTAATATTACAAAATAAAGACCAAAAATGTCAAGAACAGAGGTGGTTTAGGGTATATGAATGGATAGATCGTCAAATGGATTGATAAAGATATATTGTGTTTTCTAAAATGGATTGAGACGAAAATATGAACTGTCAACTCTAAAAGTTTGTGTAATCTAATATGACGAAGTATGAAATGTTATGAAAAACTTTGTATAAATAAAAGGTTTTAAAAAAAAGACTTGTAACAATACATTTTAAGAGCTTTCAGAGTGTGATAACATCTTATTTTTTATACTTTGGCTATCTCAAATGATAGCTTGTCTTTGGGTCAACTGCCCCTAATTTAGAGTCTGAGTCCTCGTCTGAAGATGCCACTGCTCCTTCTTCTTCGCTGTCTTTGGGGCTGTCCTCTTTCTCAGCTTCAACCTCTTTTGATGGATGACTATGTAGACGCAGAAATTCCCATGCCTTTTCAACAGAGTCAATTTTTTCTTTCCTATCCATAAATTTGAAGATTGTACCTTCGGGTACTAACCATCTGTGGGTATGTTTTTCTTTTGTAAAAATATCACCAAGTCGCTGTATTTCCTCCTCTTCCTTCTTATTTCAAATGGGATGTCCTTTAATACTTTTATTTCTTTGTCTTTGCTCTTCAAGGTAGATCCATTTGTCGCTTTGAGAATTTGATCTCTCACTTGTCTTCTAGAAAATGTTATAATCACTTCCCCAGGCAGACTATTTTTTTCTTATAAATTCTGGATACGATCTGTAGATCATATCTATTTCGCTTTGTAAGGTATCCGTTTATATCTGCCATAGGTCCTAATGCATCACACATAGTCTGTTTCAGATTCTCGGATTTTTCTTCAGGAACACCTTGCAATCTTAAAACATAGCTTGCTCTCTCCATTTGTAGCTGTGACAGTTGAGACTCCTCCATCAATCTCTTTTTTCCATCACCTGTAGTTGTTTTTTAAGCTTTTTGGTGTTGGTATCCACTTCTTTTACTTCTTGTTCAGTTTTATGTTTTTTTGGCTATTTCAGTCAATTGCAATTGCTGTGCGTCGAATTTGCTATGCAGTGCTGTCAGTTGTTCCAGCAGGGGTCGCAATGCTTCCGTCAGCATATTTTGTAACTCCGTAGTTGTGTCCTGCCTAGGGGCAGGACTCGCTGGACCAGCAGTTCCGGCAAGAAGTTTTGGTTTTACTTGTTTGTCTTTCTCATCCTTCCTCGTGGGTGCCATGTTTGAGATTGTTTACACTTTATCCAAGTTTTCACAATCTCTGATCCAGCACAGCTTGGTAAGTTCTTAAATGCTTTTAATTTCAGTCTCTCTTGCTTCAATAGTCCACCCCCCTTTTTACATGAACGCAAAGTTCGCTTAATTTTTTTCCTTATCGGGGGAGATTTTTGGTGATTCTTGCTTAAACTTCAACTCACATTTCAACACTAGATCCGCTTTTCTTTGCAAATCACTCAGTCACCAAACGCTTGCTCTGGTGTGCGCTTCTTCACTCGGCCACCAAATGCTTGCTCCGGTGTGCGCTTCTAATTCCCATTCGGGACGCTCTGTGGTGGGATCTTCGGGGCATGGAGAAAGCCCCCTTCGCCGGCAGGGTTGCCGGAGGAAGAGCCTTCTTGTGCCCCATGGCTAGGAGTCTCCTGCAGAGGCTCCAGGGGTAGCACAGGCAATGGCGCCCCCTCCTCACCACGGGCTCTGGCAGTCCTCTCCCGGAGGATCGGGAGAAGCAGCCGCCATGGCGAACGCCAAAACCGTAAGTTCTAAAGCACGCCACCTTAATGTAATGAAGGAATGACTATTCTGAGAGCACTTTAATTGTATGATTGTTTTTAAAATGTTTTAAATGTTTTATGTGGATTCGGTACACTCTACCGATCAATGTAAGCCACCCTGAGCCTGTTTGCGGGGAGGGTGAGATACAAATGCAACCAATAAATAATAAATAAATAAAAATATTTTTGGACCAACAGACCCAAATCCGAACTAACTCCAGTTTTTTTTATTTTGCACACCCCTATTCCTCCCCAGAACTAAGCTGTGGTCACCAGAGGGTCATCCCTTTCAGAACTGAGCTGATTGTACATGATTTACAAATGTCATGGTGCAGCATTGTATTCTCAATATGGCTGCAACCTGTGTAGGAAGAATGGGTTACACACATTCCAGAATAGCAGGCACACTTTCTTTTTCCTTGCAGCTTACTCCTGTTTTAAACTTGTTTCTATCCTGGAACATTCTGCTCTTGTGTTGTGATGGAGAATCAGATGCTGTCCACAGCAGAGCTGCAGGGCAATTCAGAGGCACCCACAGAAAGAAAACAGCCCACTTTTCTCTCTGGAGTCCCCCTGGAACCAGTTTAACTGGATGCCTAAACTAAACCATATCTAGTGTGACTCTTAATCCAGCCTTGGTCTCAGTGCCTTGGAGATGGTCTTCTCCTGACCCCTCATTTCCTGTCTTCATAGCTGGACCGTTTGGAACTGGATCCATTCCGGCAGCAGCTGGAGGAGCGATGGAAGGACATCCGAAAACAGCTAAAGGAGAGGGTGCCACAAGACGAAGGAGATGAAGCCGCTGGGATCCGGAGGTAAAAAATCTGGACATGTCTTGTTTTGGGAGATTATGACATCAGCGGGCGGATGTTTTTGGTGTAACATCCATCGGCATGGGTTTCTTGCAACATCTTTTTCACATTGTTGCCATGGTTAAAAGTGTCACCGTATATGACACTGTGCAGAATTTAAATCAAAATCCCCTTGATTTATATTCTTTAATCCCTGACATATTGTTTAATCGTAGGCGCAATCCTAAATAGTTACAACCTTGTAAATCCACTAATGGGTTTAGGATTGCACTGCCAAATAACAGAGCACAGAAAGATCTCGGTTCTGAGGCCCTGGAGAGTCAGTGCCGGACAGTCTTGACATTGCTGACCTATGACCCATTGGCCCGGCCACACTTATGGCATCTCTGTTGACCTAGTCTGAATGCTTGAAATTAAGTCTTTTGATGCCAGACAAGTTCAGGGTTATAGCTTGTACCCCGACTAACACTTTGAGGGAAGTGTTTGTGTCTGTTTTTACACCATTCTCATCTAGCCTTTCTCTCAACATGGAAGTCAATGCATGAAGTTCTCAGGTGGTCTTTCATCCTGGTTTCATCCTTGTTAGCTTCAGCAAGGCTGCTGAATTGCATACCTTCCAAACCTATTTTAGGAGTATACTTGGTATACTCAGGAGTATGCTTCAATGATCCTTATATTAATTGGTGGGGCAGAGTATTGAGCTTGCCTTGGCTGGCCTGGACCCACATTTCAGTCTTCTTTAGGCTCCTGCTGCTTACTTTTTCACTACGAGCGTCATGAGTTCTGTTCCATCCTTGGGGCAGTGTATGCTTTATCAGCAAGGCTTCTCTCTCTTCCATCCATGATTTTCAAAATTTTCACCTGTTTCTGTTTCTTGAGTGTTTTGTTCCCTTCAGCCTTAGCTTGCCATTTCTAATGCAGAGTGTTGTGAACATCCATTATTAACTCCTTACTTACTGCCATGCCATTAGGTCACCTAGAAGCATCTCCATTTAGAGCAGAAATTGTTCTGAATATGGGAAAGTACAAACAGAAAAAATAATGGCTTTGAAATGCTGGAAGCAATTTCCTCTTTAATGCTATTATCGCTCTTGTTATTTAAATGTATGTTACGTTAACAATTCAAAGAGCATTCAAACGACTGTGTAATGTGCATGAAACCCTAGATTAAAAATCCATGAAAACAAGAATCACGACAATATTAAGAATAATACAAGCGCAGTCTACAACATTTGCTACTCAGCAGGTGGCAATATCAATGAATGACTTCAAGAATATTGCATTGGTGACTCAAAGAGTAGAAAAGGGTAGATCTTCTTGGAAAGGTGGTCCACCAAAATGGAAGGCCCTGATCTGTGTCTTTGCAAATTCTTAGTTAGTATTGTGCTTGTGCTTAGCCCTCTTTCTACAGAAGTAGAATGTTATAGGTACAGGCACAGTAGCGATGGGGAAGATGGACTGGTCTGTTTGCTCCTTTTAAAAACCAGGACATGCACATGTCATACCTGCAAACATTCTACAAAGAAAGAAAGGACTAAGAATGATGCTGAAATGGTTGGGCATTGCTGGAGGGGAAAAGGAAGGCAGAGTGCACTGTTATATAAAGGACTTGAATGAAGAAGCAGGCTTTACAGAACTAAACATTTATTTACTGTATTTAAAGGTAAAGGTAAAGGTTCCCTTGCTCGAAAGCCAGTCGAATCCGACTCGGACAGCACTGGCTCTTCGGCTTTGAAACGGAGATGAGCACCGCAACCCTAGAGTCGGATTCGACTGGCTTTCGAGTCCTTTTGTTATTTAAATGTATGTTACGTTAACAATTGCGGTGCTCATCTCTGTTTCAAAGCCGAAGAGCCAGTGCTGTCCAAAGACGTTTCCGTGGTCATGTGGCCGGCATGACTAAACACCAAGGCACACGGAACACTGTTACCTTCCCACTGAAGTGGTACCCATTTACCTACTTGCAATTTCTTGCTTTCGAACTGCTAGGTTGGCAGGAGCTGGGACCAGAGATGGGAGCTCACTCCATCATGCAGCACTCAGGTCTCGAACTGCTGAACTACCGACCTTCCACAGTCTGCAGTTCAGCGTCTTAACCACTTGAGCCACCGCAGCTCCCTTACTGTGCTTACTCATTTATTTACTTTATCTATAGCCCACCTTTCTCACTGGGACTCAAGATAAGACTACAAAACATAAAACAGTGCAGTCAGACAGCCTGAGACATCCAATAAAAATACAGTTTTAAAACAAAACAAAAACATAAAAGTGTATTGGCATGGTGGCGGCGGGATCATGTCCGTTGTCTCCAGTGATTATATGGAAGGAGCTGTTGACAACCACACCAACAGCTTACATGCTTCTACCACAGGAGAGTTGGATGAGCTAGTGGGGGTTGGGAGTGAGAAGTATATTATTGCAGCAACCTCCATTTGAAGTTTGAGCAGGTGTACATAGCCTACATGGAAACATTGAAGTCCCATCAGCAGGCATCTTTAGCCATTCCATCACCCTTCTGGCTGACAGCCAGTATTCCCTCTAAGCTGAGTTAGTGTGAGCTAGCTCATATTTTTTTAGCCTCCAGCTCACACATTTTTTTCATAGCTCAGGAAGGATGGCTTTAGAGCAAACTAATTTATACAACAGCCAAATCAACTGCTCACAACTTTAATGCCAGTAGCTCACAAAGTAGAATTTTTGCTCACAAAACTCCACAGCTTAGAGGGAACATTGCTGACAGCTGCATGTACCGCTTTTCTTCACCTTTCAGATGTCTGTTAAGAAGGAATGGCCCACTCGAGTTATAAATGGGCATTGCTTGTTCCCACGGTTGCAAGTTGTGTTACCTATATGTCACCACCAGAGGGTGTTGGCGCTTAGTGTGTGGGCACATGGGCCAAAGTTAGTTACTAAAAATATAAGCCTGTTTCCTGCACAGTCTGTGGGTGGCTTTACTCACCTGCATTGCACTCTGCCTTAGAAATGCTATCCACCTGCTCCTATAGCATCCCTGATTGGCAAATGGCACAATGAGCAGCCCTGTACAATATGCCTGTTATGCAAGATGCAAACCAGATCCGACAGCAAGGCCTGTCCGCTGCCTGCGCTTGGTCCTGTGGGTCGCTTTGCCTATAATGTCTCTTTCCTTTCTTGAATCAAACATTGCACTGGAACGAATGGAGAAATAAAATGCAAACAGACCCTGGATGACAAGAAGCATGTTTCCCCATACAGAGGACTGTGTGCTCACCTATTTCCAGTTCTACCTCCAGGGTGATCCCCAAAGAACAGCAGATTTGAAGCTGTTGCTGTTTAAATCTTGCCCCACTCTTTGAAAACTGATCACATTTTACATTTGTGACATCCAGGTGTTGGGATATGCATGTCAAACCCCTGCTGGAATACATATTGTTACCTGGGCTCAATATTTCTGAGGTCATTCATATATTACCTAGCATTGAGAAAGGGAGAAGGGGAAATGGTTTGTGCATTCTTCTTTCCTTGCCTTCCCTGTCATGTGTGGGAAGTGACTCAAGCATCTCTCCCGTGGAGAGAGTGGGGAGCTCTAGATGGAAATGAACACAGCTTTTGATCATGCTTGGCACCCCACGCTTTCCTCTTCTTGAGTGAAGAGTAGGCTTCGCAAAAAGAAGTTTTCAGACATGCTGTGCATGAGAGAAGAAGCGAGACGGGTACACAAGCATGAACACAAACTGTGATTGTGCCCGTCATGGACAAACCTCGGAAACCTGTCCTGCGGTCTGACTGCCAACACTGTTGGAGAGGCACAGGTTGTACTTCATTTTCTGCTCCCAGTTGCAAACCTGTTATCCTCCAATCTGTAAAACAGTATATGCAGACTATGTTTGCTACTTACACCTGGTTCAGCTTAAATGCTGAGAGCCATCACGGAGTAGCCATCACACTAATGACACAGCTGAATATCCCGTGGCTCTTCACTGCCCGATCTTTTCCACTCGTGGGCACTCAATGAAATTGCTGAGCAGTCGGGTTAGAACAGATAAAAGGAAGTACTTCTTCACCCAAAGAGTGATTAATACATGGAATTCACTGCCACAGGAGGTGGTGGTGGTGGCTACAAGCATGGACGGCTTCAAGAGGGAATTAGATAAGCATATGGACCAGAGGTCCATCAGTGGCTGTTAGCCACAAGGTATAGATAGGAACTCTCAGTCTGGGGCAAGTGATGCACTGTATTCTTGGTGCTTGGGGGGGGGCAACGGTGGGAGGGCTTCTAGTGTCCTGGCCCCACTGCTGGACCTCCTGATGGCACCTGGTATTTTTTGGCCATTGTGTGACAGAGTGTTGGACTGGATGGGCCATTGGCCTGATCCAGCATTGGCTTCTCTTATGTTCTTATGTTCCACCCAAACAGGAGACTACTGGCTCATTTCCACTGTATTTCTTGTGACCGGCCTTTGGAAATGGTGGTGCCTGGCCCGTAAGTACTGGGATGTTGGGCTTATGTTGCCTGTGTACTTACATTAATATGGGCATAGGGTGGGTTCGTAGGCTCTGTATGGGACTTGAAGCTGGCTGATGTGGCTTTCAGTCAGTGAACCAGGATCTGCCTATTCTTTGCCTCTGTTTTGCTGTTGCTTAGCCTGTCTGTCTCTCTGTGTGTGTTGTCTCGACAGGCACATCACGACACTGCCTGCTGTTCCAGGGTTACCTGCTCACCAGTCCCTCCGACCTTACATGGTTTATGAATTGGAACAAATACGGCAAATCAGCCGCAAGTATGAAGAGGAGGGGGGCTACTCTTGGTGGGGGGGGGTGATAGAAAAAAAATGTGCGACTCTTAAGAGGTTTTTGGTAATGAGATGGAACAGATATAGAATAGTGACCAGATGCAAAACATCACTAGCTTGAAATGGCCACAGGGAGGAAAGAAAAAGGCGGCGGGGGGGAGGGGGGTGTACAGACCAACATACAAGCCTGAATATCACTTGCCCGGCAAAGCAAAATTAAGGAAAAGCATTGGCTTTTGAGCTGGGTCCTTTTTGTTACAATATGCTAAATGGCAGCAGTGCAGTTGAATGCATGTGATGCCCTCCCACCACCTGTTTGTTTGTTATATCTGTAGCCTCCTCGACATAGAATATGTCTAACTAAATGTAAGAATGCCCTTGGCTTTGTCAGTGTAGCAGGCTTTGCTCTCTATAAGAGCCAGCCTGATTATCTCATTCTGGGTTGCACAACTCCATGCAAACGCTCTAGGTGGTTCTTCCTACACTTGCTTACAAAAAGGAATATTAAGATGAGCAAGGCACGCCAGGAGCCACAGCCATGCTTAACAGTGTGATTTCTCCTTTCCATTCCCCTTCTCTGGATACTTCTCTCTTTTCTTCTTCTTCTTTTTGCTTGTGGCTGCACCAAATTCACTGCACCCCACCCCTCCCCACCCCAGTCTGAAGTTAGGACCTGGTTTTCGCTTTGATGCGTTAGAGAAGGCGGCGAGTCTCAACAAGCTACGGCGCATCCATTCCAAGATGCTCATGGAGATACAGAAGGTGCAGAGCCATTATGGTGGAACACCGAAGGGCAACACCCAGATGATCAGGGATTTACTGCAGTCCCAGTGTCTCGGGTCCAGCCAGTATAGCAAACGGTAGGAGAAAAGCTCTGAAACAGTGCAAGAGATGGGAGGCAAAGGTCTCCCAGAAAGCTTAGGGCAGAGGCACAGCAGAAGGGCATATCTGCCTGCACAGCCCCATGCATTAGATTTAATAAACAGGGACTTCTATTCAATGTGGTTCTTACCCAAGTAAATATCTGAAGCCATTGCAAAGTGAGAAACATAAGCCTTGCAAGATGCCAGCTGTGAGTCAGTCAAGTCAAGTCCTTACAAGTACAGCAGGAAAAGAAAATACTTACTGGATTTCCTTTGCTGCCACCGTGAAGTTTCTCTCAGCTGTTTCCCACAAGGAAGTCACTTTTGTGTGTGAATTTTCATGAATCCTGTGTGGAGGCCATCTCTGTCTCTGCTTTCAGTGGGAAACCTGTTTCCTCATACGTATGTCCTGCGTGTGCTGTCATGCTACATAATAGGCTGTGTGCGGGCTTGATGCAAATCCCTACAAAGAATTGACTTCTACGCAGAGATGTGGTCCTGTCCAGAACAACCCTTTATGTGTTTCTCTTTAACATACTTACAGGTGTGTGGTTGGGACGACTGCACAAATATTTAGTGGGTTGACTTGCTGCATAGGTAATGAATTCTGGAATTCCAAACAGGCTCAGGATTTAATGGGTCTGCCAAACAAGTTAGACTTGATTGTTATCATTTCACAGTATATTTACTTAAGTCTGCAGACTGACTTCAATATTTTTTTGGGGGGGGGGGATATAGTATCATGCAAACTAGTACTAGCTTATACTGCAGGCACAGCTCATTGCTTACCCTCAGCAAGGCTTAGTCAAGACTCCCAAAATTTCTATCATCAGAACTTTCCGTTGAACTTAAAAACATAAGAGCCCTGCTGGATCAGACCAATCGTCCATCTAGTCCAGCATCCTGTCTCACACTGTGGCCAACCAGTTCCTCTGGATGGCCAGCAACAGGGTGTAAAGTCTGCCTTCCCTTGATGTTGCCTCCTGGCCCTGGAATTTAGAGGATTACTGCCTCTGAATATGGAGGTTCCCTTCAGTCACCATGGCTAGTAGACAATTGTGACTTATCCTCCATGAATCTATCTAATCCCCTTTTAAAGCTGTTTATTCCCGTGGCCATCACTACATCCTCTGGCAGTGAATTCTACATTTTAATCACTCTCTGCATAAACTAATATTTCCTTTTGTCCATCCTGAACCTACTGCCCATCAGCTTCATTGGATGCCTTCAAGTTCTAGTGTTTTGGGGAAGGGAGAAAAAATTCTCTTTGTCAGCTCTCTCCATCCCATGCATCTCTCATGTCCCCCCTTAGTCATCTCTTTTCTAAACAGCAAGTCCCAGACTCTTCAGCCTTTCCTCATAGAGAAGGTGCTCCAACCCCCTCATCATCTTGGTTGCCCTCCTCTGTACTTTTTTCAAGCTCTGCAATGTACTTTTTGAGATACTGTGACCAGAACTGTACACAGTATTCCAACTGAGGCCGCAACATAGGTCTATACAGGGGCATTACAATAGCAGCTATTTTGTTCTCAATCTCTTTCCTAATAATCCCTAACATAGAATTTGCCTTTTTTCACTGCTGCAGCACACTGGGCTGACACTTTCATTGAGCTATCTGCTACGTGTCAGACTCCTGGTCAAGAGACTCTTTGGCAGTGATTTGTTTATTGAGATAGCAGCATGATCCAGGTTAGAACAGTACCATGTCCGAACTGAGGGTTTTGGCAGTAACCTCTACAGATATAGACAATTCAAATGTGATTCCCCCGCCCCGTTCATCCAATCGTCTCACTCAGGCGCCCCGTCTAAGCATCTATGCCCACCTGTAAGTTCCCAGTCCCATTATCTAAGACAGTGAGGCTGGCACAGAATTTGCTTCAAGGTCGTCTCCGTGGAGAGGCATGTCTTGGGAAGAGTTACGATAGCCGCTACAATGGTGCCACTCTCATACCCGCGTGCGCGTGCCCACACACAACTCAAGAATTCCCCTTCTCCCCCATAACTATGGCAAATGAAGCAGAGTTTGACGTTCTGCCCCCCACCAAAGCCCATTCACCCTCCCGGCTTGAGGGGGTGCCGCATATGAAAAGCATGCACTAATTTTGCAGCATTGACATGCTTAGCTTCCACCCATTCATTATGACTCAGATCAAATTCCTTCCATTTAATGAAATAATACAGCCAACCCTGTTTAATTTTAGAATCTAGAATGTCCTCTACTTCTTGATGGGCCTCTCCGTCCACAACCAGGGGAGGAGGAGCTGGAGGACGTGGTTTCAACTTCAAGGGTCCAGGATCTTTCTCCAGTAGACTAAAATGTAAAGAGGCTTTTGGGCAGTTCAACAGTCACTTTAATAATGAGGCGCACAACTTTGAAAGGGCCCACATATTTCCATCTCAGTTTTTCCCCTGGTTGCAGTCCCTTGAGATTTCTTGTGGAGATATACACTGAGTCTCCTGGCTTTTATTTCCCATTCAAGGCCCCTCCCTTTGTCAGCGTAATGCTTGTAATCCTCTTTTGCTTTGGTTAGAGTTTGCTGGAGGGTTGACCACCCTTGGGTCACTTTAGTCCACCACGTCTGGGCATCCCCCGGCCTTGGGTCCTTGGGTTCTAAAGTGGGGGAGAGGTCCCCCTTTGTATCCGTGTACTGCTTTGAATGGGGACATACCTATTGACCTGTGTACCGAATTGTTATAGCTGTACTCTGCAAACAGAAGCAGGTCTACTCAATCATTTTGCTGATGGTTTATAAAGCATCTCACAAATTGTTCTAACACTTGGTTTGTTCTCTCCGCCCATCTTAGCTGTTTGGCGTTTAGGTGCCAAGGGGCTTTGAGTGCCTCTAGGTTTTTATGATCAGTCCAAACCTCGAAAGGGACCCAGGCCCCCTCCAGCCAATGTCTCCAGGTTGTCAGTGCCAACTTGATGACAGCCGTCTCTTTATCCCACAATGCCCAGTTCCTTTCGGTGCTGGAGAACTTTTCTGACACATACGCCAAGGAGTGTAGGTTCCCCCCTCCCCCCTGCAAGATTGCTCCCCTCATAGCCACATCTGAAGCATCCACTTGCACCACAAATTGTTTAGTCGCATCGGGGTGGTGCAAAATGGGTTCTGAGTTGAATAAAGTTTTTAAGCGCTCAAATGCTTGCTGGCGCTTGGGGGACCACGCCAAGTGGCTACTCGGCTTCTGACTGTCAGACCCCTTCCCCTTTGTTTTCAGGAAGTTGGTGAGGGGAAGAGTGACCTGGGCAAAATTGGGGATGAACGGTCGATAGAAATTGGCAAACCCCAGGAAGGACTATAGTTGGCGCCAAGTCTGCAGGGCCTCCATGCCCAGCCCTTTCCCAGAGATGCAGTATCCAAGGAAATCCAGCTCCTCTCTGTGGAACTTGCACTTGGAAAGTTTGACAAACAGGTGGTTCACATAGAGGATTTTTAGGACATCCCGCACCAACTTGACAAGTGACTCCTTATCTTGCAAATAAATCAAGCTATCATCCAGATAAACCAGGACCCCTTTGTACAGGTGCTTGTGCAACACTTCATTGATTGAGTTCATGAACACCCCAGATTCCCCAGCCAAGCCAAACAGTATCACCAAGTACTCAAACTGTCCCAGGGGGGTATTGAATGCTGTTTTGTGCTCATCCCCCTCCCTTACAGGACTCTTTTTGTAGCAGGAACTCCTTTGCATATTAGGCCACACACCCCTAATGTAGCCAATCCTCCAAGAGCTTACAGTGCTCTTCTTACAGGAGCTACTGTAAGCTCTTGGAGGACTGGCTACATTAGGGGTGTGTCGCTTAATATGCAAATGAGTACCTGCTACAAAAAGAGCCCTGCTATGCGTACTCTCAAGTATGCATCTCTCAAATCTAGTTTGGTAAAGATCCAGCTCCACAAGGCCTCAGCGAGCAAGTCTTTGATGAGGGGGAGGGAGCAGGCATTCGACATAGACACTGCATTCAACCCCTGGTAGTCCATGCACAACCTCAACCCCCCATCTTTCTTTTTCTGGAATAACACTGGCCCAGGAAATGGGGAGGCTACTGGCTGGATGAACCCCCTGGCCAGATTTTTTATCAATGAACCGTTGTAATTCCTCCTCTGCTGGGCTCATGGAATAGATTTTCCCTTTGGGCATTTTATGTCCCGGCAATATGTCAATTGCAGAGGCTGTTTTACGATGAGGGGGTAGTTTGTCCGCCTCCTTTTCCTCAAAATCCCTGGCCAAGTCTCGGTATTCAGGAGGGATCAGATTTAACTCTTCCCACGCTAGACACATGCTCAGCTATGGGAGGTGGCTCTTCTCCCCAGTCCACGTTCCAGATATGCTCTTTGCATCCGGGGTCGAGAAATGTTGAAGTCCCCATACTCCACTGGACATACAGATCATGGGCCTGAAGCCATGGGCTCCCAAGCACCATAGAGAACTTTGTGGAGGGGTTCACCACAAAAGAGCGTAGCTCCCAGTGAGAGGCCTCCCCCAACAATAAGTGAACAGTGCAGTATTGGCAGGCCTCCCCCCTCATTGGTGTTCTGTCCATCTGGGAAAATACTATGGGCTCCTATAACTTATGTACTTTGGCCCCCAAGGCCATTACTATGACAGGGCTAATTAAGTCCTAGGTACACCCCAAATCAATTAGGGCTCGTACCCTGATCTGCGTCCCCCCCCCCCGGATTGATTATGGTAACAGTCAAATAGAAGAGGGGGGAGGAAGGTCTCACAGATTCTTGCACTGGAGACTTTCAGACCTGCTGGCTGGCGCTCTTTGTCTCACTCAGCCATCCTGCCTAAGCTGTTAACATCTACGCCCACCTGTAAGTTCCCAGTCCCGTTATCTAAGACAGTGAGGCTAGCACAGAGTTTGCTTCAGGGTCATCTCTGTGGAGAGGAATGTCTTGGGAAGAGTTACGATAGCTGCTACAATGGTGCCACTCTCATACCCACACACCCCTCAGGAATTCCCCTTCCCCCTATAACTATGGCAAACGAAGCAGAGTTTGACACTACGACCTCAAGAACTTTTCCCCTCTGAGGCTCAGTAAGTTTATGTCCTATTAGCCTATACTTGAAATTGGGATTTTTTTTCTCCTGATTTGCATCACTTTACACTTACCAACAGTGGACTTCATTTGCCACGTTGTCGCCCACTCACCCAGTTTGTGGAGGTCCCCTTGGAGCTCTTCACAGTCAGCCTTGGTTTGCGCCATCGTGAATAATTTTGTGTCATCTGCAAATTTGGCCACTACACTACTAACCCCTAGTTCCGGAACATTTATGAATAAATTAAATAGTACCGGCCACAATACCAATCCTTGTGGCACCCCACTCCTTACTTCCCTCCATTGTGAGAACTGTCCATTGATTCCTACTCTTTGCTTCCTGTCATTTAACCAGTTTTCAGTCTATAAGAGAACCCTTCCTCTTATCCCATGACTGCTAAGTTTACTCAGGAATCTTTGGTGAGGTACCTTGTCAAGCCTTTGAAAGTCCAAGTCACTGTTGTCTACACGCTTGTTCACTTTTTCAAATAACTCCAAAAGGCTGGTGAGGCAGGACTTCCCTTTGCAGATGGTTTTCCCTCAGCAGGCTTTGTCCCTCTATATGCCTAACAAATTCTAGCTTTAATTACAGTTTCTACCAATTTGCCTAGGTCAGACATTAGGCTGACTGGTCTGCAATTTCCTGGCTGTCCTCTGGATCCCTTTTAAAAAATTGTTATAACATTTGCTACTCCCCAGTCTTCTGGTACAGGGCTGAATTTAGTGATAGGTTACGTAGATCAACTATCTCACATCTGAATTCCTTAAGAACTCTTGGGAGTATTCCATCAGGACCTGGAGACTAGCGGCTTTTAATTTGTCCAGTGGGTCTAGAACTCCCTTCCTGAAAATATGGGCTGTGTCATGGGTATGTGCCCCACACTTTCCACAGTGAACACAGGAGCAAAAAAGCCATTTCCCCATTTCCTTTAGCAATCCCCTTATTCCTTTGTCATCCAAAGGCCCCACTGCTTCTCTGGCTGGCTTCCTGCTCTGGATATATTTTTTTAAATGTTTATTGTTTTGTCTTGATGCTTTTAGCAACCCGCTCCTCAAAATCTCTTTTTGCATGCCTAATTACTGACTTACATTTCTTTTGCCAGAGCCTGTGGTCCCTCCTTTTCAATTCATTGGGACAGACCTTACACTTTTTAAAAAGAAGCCTCTTGACTTTTTATAGCTTCCTTGACTTGTGGTGTTAATCACACAGACCTTCTTTTAGACTTGGCCAGTGCCTTTCCTGACCTGTGGAATGCATTCTATTTGGGCTTCAAATAGCGTGGTTTTAAATAGCCTCCAGGCATCCTCTATGGATTTGACTCTCTTATATGTTTCCCCTTCAGCTTCCTTTTTACTATTTCCCTCATTATTGTAACAGTCCCACTTTTGAAATCAAATGTTACAGTTTTGGACTTCAGGGGTAACTTTCCATTGACCTGAATGCTGAACTTAATAGCGCTGTGGGCACTGTTCCCAGCTGGTGTAACAACCTCTACATCCCTCACCAGGGCTTGAGCCCTGCTCAGAACCGGGTTCAAGATCACTACCCCTCTGGTTGGCTTCTGTGACCAGCTGTTCCAGTGCACAGTCATTTATACTCACTTGCGTTTATCTTAACTTGTCGTTTTGTTTTGCTTTCTATTCCTGCTCTTTCGCTTCTCATTTTTCTGCCTGCCTTGTTATGTAGGAAGAAGCCCCCTTGTCCAGATGCTAACTTGGGGGAAGTTTCTCAGCTCTTTCCCTTTTTCCTCACTGTCTAAATCACTGCAGGTTACTGATGTGTGTTGACTGTGCACCTGATAGTGCAGTTTGTCTCCTACCAGGCCCTATGGAGTGGCTTCGTACTTATTGCTTTCTTAGGAAATGGATCTGACAAGTTGCATGTTCTGAAATATTATTGTGAGAAAAATTTTGTGTGACAATAACCCCCACACACACAAGTTTGTAGGGCTGCCAGCCTCCAGGTTGGGGCCAGTTTGGTATAGGGGTTAAGAGTGGTGGACTCGAATCTGGAGAATTGGATTTGATTCCGCACTTCTCCACATGCAGCCAGCTGGGTGACCTTGGATCAGTCACTACTTTCTCGGAGCTGTTCTCTCAAGAGCAGCTCTCTCAGCCCCACCTACTCACAGGGTGTCTGTTGTGGGGAGGGGGAGGAGATTGTAAGCAGCTCTGAGACTCCTTCAGGTAGTGAAAGGTGGGGTATAAAACCAACTCTTCTTCTTCAGGTGGGGCCTGGGGATCTGGAATTACAACTGATCTCCAGACCACAGAGATCGAATCCCCTGAAGGGAGTGCTCCTTTGAAGGATGACCTCTGTGGCCTTACACCCCCACACTCCCCAGGTTCCACTCCCAAATCTCTGGGAATTTCCCAACCTGCAATTGGCAACCATACAGCAGTGTGTGACATGTAAATGCAAGGAAAAGAAAGCAGAGCCCTTTGAGCTGTAAGAATAGATATAAACTATAGAAGTCAGCATTTCAGAAGTGCTTGGCCAGAAGTCTAATCCCAGGCCGCCTGACAGTGATATTTGGCTTGTTCCCTGTTGCTGATCTATTTCTAAAGTTTTAATCTTACCCTTCTTTCCAAAATGAGACACAAGGCAGCTGACCTAAATAATAAAATACTGATATCCTGTAAAACCGTTAAGTGCAGCATAAAAATGTAACAAAAACACCCAGAACTACTAGCATACCTGGGCTTGCCAGGTCTTTCCTGCCTATTCCCTGCAGCCACAATCTGGTGCCTTCAGCCACCTTCTCCCCTGCTGTTGAGGCTAACACAGGAATCCCGCTTCTTCAGCAAGAGAGCTGTGAACCCAAGTGAAGGTATGCAAGGAGCAGGGTAGAAGAAGCTTGGCTGCATCACTTGCCTGGTGAGTGCGGTTAAAGAAACAGGGAGTATTGTTGAATAGTGCTAATTGTGCTAGCCACATTTGAAAAGAACATTTATTATAAATATATCACTAGGCAAGGGCTGAGGTCAGCTTGTTTTGGGTGGATTGCTCTGCCCCCTTTGCCTTAAGGAGCATATTTGCTGCTCGACTGTGCTGTTATAGCCACACACACCCCAGAAGGACACTCAGCTTTCTGCTATTGCACGTTGCACCTTTAGCTAGCTGGGCAGTGAGTGGGCCAGAGGTTATTTCCCTGGTAGGCGTGGGCTGGCGATAAACGCATTTTGAGTCTCAGAACAGTCAGAGGTTCTAAAGAAGACAGGAGAGACAACCCTTGTGCTGTCACACTTCAGAAGTGACCCTCTTACCCTCTAGTCTACCACCACCATTGGTGAATAGCTGTGGCAGGGGCTCCCACCCAGCAGGCCTTTTTCCTCCAGGTTATGTAGGCACTGCTGCCCTTGGCTGCACAGTGATGGCATCCCTCATTACAAAGCATTAGAGATACCTTGTGGCACAGCAGGAGGAAACAAAGCCAGTCCTATCATTCAGGCTGTGTCACTGCCTCTCTGGACTTTTAAATTTTATATGTGAGTGCAGTCCTGCAGAGGAGCTGCGGTAGCTCAAGTGGTTAAGACGCTGAACTGCAGGCTGTGGAAGGTCAGTAGTTCAGCAGTTCGAGACCCGAGTGTGCCGCATGACGGAGTGAGCTCCTGTCTCTAGTTCCAGCTCCTGCCAACCTAGCAGTTCGAAAGCAAGAAATTGCAAGTAGATAAATAGGTACCACTTTGGTGGGAAGGTAACAACGTTCCGTGCGCCTTGGTGTTTAGTCATACCGGCAACATGAGCAAGGAAACGTCTTCGGACAGCGCTGGCTCTTCGGCTTTGAAACGGAGATGAGCACCGCAACCTTAGAGTCGGACTCGACTGGCTTTCGAGCAAGGGAACCTTTACCTTTTTTAGTCCTGCAGAAATCAGGTCAGTGTAGCTGACCGGGCTCCAAGGCAATCTGGGTTGTTTTATTTTGCCAAGTGTGAAATGTTGACCCTCGATTCTTAACAGTGAGAGAACTCCCGAGATGACAGACTACGGCTATGTAAGCGTGCCTCGTCACTGTGGAGGCAGCCACACCCTCACGTATCCGTACAGGCGCTACGGCCGACTGCAGCAGTTAGCCCAGTGTATGCCTCCAGTACATCCAGAAGAAAACACCATGCTGGCAATGATGAAGGTAATGGATGGGAAGGAGGTCAGGGACGGTTGGCCTTAAAGCCTGAGGCTATATACTGGCTTGCAGTTTCTCTGCATAATCTTGTAGCAAAAATCACTAAGGAAGGAGGCACCGCTTGCATTTTGCCATACTCTGGGCCTCTACAGTGCCTTACTTTGTATTCTGTTTTTCACATGAAAACTTGGTCTGTGTTCACAAGGTAGGAATTTTAGCTGCAATTGGTCTGAACGGATGCGCTTACCCCTTTCCTGGTCATAATCCCACCCTCTTCTTTATTATTGACGTCTCTGTTCTTTTTCTGGTGCATTTGCCCAACTTGGACTCATTCACTTAGAAACCTTGCTAATATCTTTTGCTCCCTTATTTTAGCCAAAACTGAAACTGGCCTATTTTATAATCCCATATATAGGTTTTTCCCTTCTCCTTTTTTGGCACATTTAGGGTTATTTTTAGAACATCAAAAAGGTAAGTAAAATTCTGAGAGGAGGAAGCTCATATGAACAAGGAAGATATGAAGCTCAAAACTGGAAGAGCAGTGACAAAAGATACCAGATGTACCAAGAAGGTTATCCAGGACATGTTTGCTGATGTTGGACAAGTTGGTGTTCTAACCTCACTTCCCTTCCTTTAAAAAGAGAATAGTACATTATCAAAATGACAATTAAATCAGATTTTTAAATGACTCTGTGCAGTCTTCTCCAACAGCAGGACTGACGGTTGCGCATTGTCCCTGCAAGAAAGGGAAAACAGCAGAGTCTTATGGCACCTTAACCACAAGCAAATGTATTGTTCCATAAGCTTTTGCATGCTACATCCCACTTCCCCAGATGCTGTGGCCTCAGAAAGTAGATGCCACAGCAGATTTGTTTTATTTTATTTTTGTTTTGTTATTAATTTTTTTAAATTTATTTAATATTTTTATTTATTAAATTTATACCCTGCCCTACTCCAAAACAATGGGTTCAGGGCGGCTCACAACATAAAATCAGCCGACAATAAAAACAAGACTCTTTGATGTCTGGGCTGCGGGCTGACATGGGGCCATCCTTTGGGAATGCACGATCAAGGCCATGTTTCAAGTGCTATCAGCTCTTCTAGCTTTGATCTAACAGCAGGCATCTGAAAAACAAATTTTCTTTTTTGCTCCACTTTTCTTTGTACATTTTGATTACACTCCTCTTGACGGCAAAAGGGGATTTAAGATACAATGGCTGGGATCCACCGGTAATTTCTGCAGACAGAAGGGATTTCCACCTGTGGGATGTGGTTCCTTCATCTCTACCCTCCCACTGTAGCCCAAAATGCCCTCTGAAATGCTCCTCCTAGGGGACAGGAGACCCATGAGAACAGCAAGAGGGGGGCCCAGTTGGAGATGTGCAATGGCAGGGGACAAATTAGCCAGAACATCACCCTTTCTGTCTGCAGAAATCCTCAGCAGGATCCAAGCCACGGTCATCTTTCTTAGGTCAAACCACCGCTAAGTACTAGCCCCAGTATTCTTTGTGTCAGAAGCTACAGAACATACAGCGAGGGTAGTGACTCTTCGCTTGCAACAGATGAAGGCCTGGGGCAGGCTGACCATCAGGATGCTCCCATTATATTGAATAACAGCCACAGATACTCTTGCCCTTCATGTCTTTGTCTAGCTCCTTTAAAAAAAATCCATAATCCTCTTCCCGTACTGTTGAACTCATATGCCGACAATTTATCCTACAACCCTCATTTTGGTCCCCTCAGCCTCACCATCTTCTCTCATATCCCCTTTTCTTTTCGTGTTCCCTTGGACAATGTATTAGTACTCAGGTCTCCATGGCATATTTCAAATCTGTTTCCTCTGGTGTAGATCATCGATCTGTTTTTCCCAGGCCCTTCTCCATGACGTGGTGGTATTCCAAAATTCGTCACGAATTTTGCAGTTCGTGAACTGATATAACTAGGCAAGGGCCTAGTGTGGTCAAGCAGATATCCATTCATAGCTAACTTTTAAAGCAGTTTGTGGATAGAGCAGAAAGCAAGGATTTAAGGGACCCCACATTCCTTTAAACCCCTGCTTTCTGTTCCCAGCAAAAGTCACAAAAACAGCTGGGTGGTGGGGAACAGCCTGCTCCCCATTGCTCAGTTGTTTTGGTCTGTCTTGTGCAGTTCCTTTAAACTTTAAAGGCACTGCAGAAGACAGCCCGAAACAGCTGAGCAGTAGGGAGATGCTCCCTGCTGTTCAGCTGCATAGACCTCTAGGTTGCAGTCTGGCAAGTCTGCTACCCAAAAGGGGTCAAGTAGGGTCCTCATGCAATAAACATTTAAAACTCAATAATAATAGTTAAGTCTGATGCAATGAAATTATGTTGCTGGCTTACAGTGAAGCTTTGGTTGCAAAGTCTCCCTACACAGTTAAGCTGAAGTCTCTTCTGTGTTTCCTAGCATGAAGAAGTGGATATATTGGGCCTGGATGGTCAAATCTACAAGGGACGGATGGATACACAGCTCTCATCCATTACAGCAAAGGACAGTGAGTTTTGTGTCCCATATGCAGGAGCTGCAGGTGGGATTTGTCCCCCTTTCCTGGTCACAATTATTTAAGCATTATCTTAAAAGGCAGAACTGGCCTTATTAGGGTGCTGTCAAGCAGATATCCATTCATAGGTACCGAACAGAAATATTAAACCTCTCTCTCTTCTTCCCCCTCCATTTGTGCTTTGTCCATCAGATATTCCAAGAATGAAACCCAAGCTAATTCGATCTTCCTCCCAAAGGCATCCACCAACCCTCCCCGACATCACCAGCCTCCCAGTTCGTCCCCACACTGCCAGAGGGTCTTTGCGCAGCTTGTCAGGTACTTCAGGACTCAAATGGGATTATCAGGAGCTTCTATTTCCAGCCAGTCAATAGACGTTCCTACTTCCTTTGCACTTTCTTTGCGTTGTACTTTGCTTTTAAAATGGTTTATTACTGGAACAGGATAGAAACTATCCACAAATGTGAACTTTTGAGGCAAACTTCTGCTTTCAAACATAAACTTTCATTGGTTTTATACTACTGGGGGCTTCTGAGAAATGGTAAGTGGGGAGAGAAGAACTGAGAAAGTCTCCCCCCTCCCTAAATTTCTCCCTCCAGGATATTATTAGGAGTTTGAGAAAGCTAATTTCCCTACTTCCCGTTGTTTATTTGTTTCCCCTCTCAACATTCCGAGGGCAATGAGGAAAGTTAGTCCTCACTGGGCTATTTATTCTTCCTCAGGAGTTTCTTTTTTAATGTTCAAACTAATATCTAGGGAACCTCAAATTTGCAGAAACCCCAGTCTGGTCTGCAGGAGGGCTGCTTTCATTGCTTTTGTGATAGGCGCTTAACCACGAAGTTTGCTATTAGAGGGAACTAGCTGGGAGGATTCACTGGATTGGGGGCAGGGGTGAGAAGTAATTTCGAAATTCCTTGCACAGAGACCCAAGTTTTCCTTTCCAGGATACTGAATTCTTGGGGGCTTAAGCAAGCCAATTCCCCCGTCTTTCACATTGTTGTCTTCCACTTTAACTAACTAACATTGCTCTCAATGTTCTGTTTAGGGGTGTGCAACTTTTTAAATTGGCACTTTTCTGGTTCGGGTCTATTGGACCTGAAAAAAATTACAGTATTTCTGAAAAATACCAGACCCCAATTCCGGTATGTAGAAACCCTACCTTTTCCTGGTTTTTGCTGCATTTCTGAGTTTCATGCGCTACCAAGTTTGTTTATTTACCAGATTTATACGTAAGGTTGCCAGCTGTCCAGGGGAAGCAATTCTGCCCCTTTAATAGAGGCTTAATAGCTGAAGCTTTTTGTGGCATGGAGGTAAATAATATTACCTGATAATTGCAGCAGATCAAACTGATCTTAAATCTAGCTGTCCCTTTGTTATCAGAGTAAAGTGCTGTTTACCTTTGAGAAAGTATTGAATGTAAGGGTGACATTTTGGAGATTCATGTCCCACATCAGAAAAGTCTTCTCCTCTAGACTTTCATAAATTCTTAGAGGCAAGTTAAACCCACCCTCTTTTTTCTCTCTTTGACTGACTCAAATACTCTCAACATTCTGTGTAGCATATTCAGTCCTCATCAAGCAGCTTATGGTTAATTTACAGATTTAATTTTTTCAACATAACAAAGGAGTCTCTTTCATATTTAGAAACCATTTCTTTGTTTGTGGGCGGCCTGATCTTGCTGCTTTTGTGATTGGCGCAGGGGTCAGCCACTTGACTATTAGATGTAGTGATATTAATAAAATAATGATAACTCTCATGACTCCTCGTGGGAATTGTTGAATTCTATTCCTCACCTCGCAAACTGTCCCCCACCCCAGGAAATGGTCTAATCGTTGTGCCCTCATACCCAAGTTTTCACCTCGGACTCTGAAACCCATAGGAAATGCTGATAACAGATTAAAATGAGCGAACACCATTACAATTCAGACATGAGGCAGAGAGCACCTACCCACTGCATAGATAAGGGCTCATTCCGGCTACATTTCATTACACTCTCTGCCACAAGCCAAAGGGTTGCATGATGTGTAAGCAACAGAGCAACAACCACGAAAGCTCTGCTGGGGGGAAAGTAGCCATTGCTTGAGACTGTTTTCAAACAAGCCCTTGGTAGCCCCTTTCTACAAAGGCTCCTACTGAGATGACTCACTGGCTGACTGATTCTAGGCCTGTTTGCAATCTCAGCTCCTGCCAATCCATCTGTCCATTGTAGAGAACTCCCTTCTGGTAGCAGCAAGGTGCGAAACAATCACATCTGAGACATAATTGCAGACACAGTCAATTAGAACAATGGGACTGCATGCCAGACTGATTGAAAAGCACGGCAGGAAATCATGGAGCTGTTTAGCATAACCGAAGAGCCTTGTTTACTTACCTACGAACATGGAAATGCACAGGACTTGCCAGTGAACTTTGCTTGCCATCCACAGATTGATAGGAAAGAGGAAAGGAAAGATCCATCAATGCACAGAGCGATTAAATCCTCCCGATAAAATTCATTTCTGCAAAAAGCCAGCATGAGAGGGCCAATGAGGTTCTGCTGTCAATTTGCATATGAATGTCAAGAGCCTGTTAGCATGTATACCCTATTGCCATCTAGTCCCTGAGCTGTTTTTTTCCACAACTTGTGAGAGACAAAGGCACATTTTTGGGCTACATGTGCAAAATGTATACACGCTGGAGAGACACTGGGCCAGCCAATCATATTATCTCACAACTTTGCAAATGTGCTTTTGATAAAGCATTCCTGTTTCTTACATGCCACAGTGCACCCAACTGTGTATATAGATGGGACTATTAATTCTGTAATGCATGGGGGCAGCCCTGACAGCAGCAAGTTTGTCCAGTGTGGAATAGTCTGTGCCATGCTGTAGCCTTGAAAACAATTATGCTAGTTTTTTAGGTGGCCTCAATCATGTTAGAAAGGGCAAAGAAAGGCTAAACACCCTTAAAGAAGCCCCAACAATGTAAAGGTGAGAGTGATTCAGGCACTCATCTTTGTCAACAGAAATTTCTTGCATGCACTTTAACTTGTAAGGATTCCAGGCTTTTCCAAATGAGTCTTTTGTAAGAGAAAGTGACACAAAATAGACATGGACTCCTGTGAAAAGATACAGGCAGTGTACAAATGGAGGCCAGGCTTAAACTGAACCATGGCTCAGTCCCAGGATCTGTTTTCAGTGCTAGGGTTTAGCAATGTGAAGGCATTTGCCCCTATAGCTCCTGCTAAAGAGGATCCATCTTCCAGTTTCTGGTGGCATCTTATCTACGGAGATGAATAGAGTTAGAATCTAGCTGTGTTCCCCACCCCAGAGAATCCCACATTCCTGCCAGCAAGAGTTTCATAATTAGGTCATAATCACTGGTAGAATAGGAAAAAGTTACTTGCATGCTTAATTAAAATGAGACTTGCCTTTGTCTGTCTCAAGAACCTGTTTTAAAAGCTGGCATCAGACTTGTATTTGAATGTATTGTATCCTATGTTAGCTGGGACAGCTTTTTCTGTCTGGATGAAAGTTGTGACACCACCACCACCACCACCACCACCACCAGTCCAAAAAGCACAATGTTCACTTTCCACGCCCAAGAGTACTATAACCAGTCATGTGGAATTGGCTACAGAGGGCCTTGACGGTCAAGTGAATGGCTTCCACACAGATAGGCACTGCTCCTCTGCTTTTAACCAATTAAGTCTTGAATGGAGGCTTACGATAATGTCAACTTAGTACTGAAATATTGGTACAAGAAAAAGGGTTTGGGTGGATATGTGGATAATCAACTGGTAGCACCATCTCTTCTACCAAGTATGACTGAGCCCTGGCCATTGCTGTTCTTTTGCCTTCCAGCTAAGTCACTAGGTGAGAAGTCGGTGATGTCCCCGAATGCTTTAAGGGGCACGGAGGACCCTGGAATGCAGGACAGAGAAACATTAGAGCTACGCATGGAAATCCCCTCGCGCCAAAGATCCAATGAGCAGTCGGCTTAAGCGGAGGGACTCCTGCCTTGTGCCTCAATAAGAACATAGTTCTTGGAGATGAAAGCCAAATCAATAAAAAGTGAATGAAAGGGAGGGGGGGAGACTGTGCAGAACTGCTGCTGCCACAGGATCAAGGCCATCTTGTGCTCTGTGTCTCCAGAAGACCCCGCCCCTTCCACAGAGTGATGTTTCTTGGGGAGGGGGACATGGTGGACGGCCCTTCCTTCTGCAGAAACGAATGTTCCAGAGGTCCTGCAGGTCATTTGTTTTATTTGTCCACTAAAATTTATCAATACAAAATCTTTTGTTTAAACTGGATGAGAGCAAACGCACTGATTTTAAGCGTCATTATCACCCCATTTTCCTTCCTTCCAGATTATCCTAATGTCCCAGAATGTAACATAATCACCAACAAAGACCAGCCATGTAAAAGGGGGGTCACAGCAAAGAGCAAGCAGTTTTGTGATCCAGCAGATTTCTGTTCAGCAGCCAGACGATTGCATGCTGGCATATGCAGTACTGAGCTCCTGTACTTTTCTCTTGGAATTCAAGGACCTGAGCTGTTGCTTTGGATTCAAAAAGTACAAGTCAGCTAAAATGTGTCCTGCTGCTGTTCATATTGAACTTAGAATGAATAACTTTCTCCAGATTCAAGAACCGATATTGATTTCTAAACTTCAAAATTCAGATCGTGGTTTTTTGATGCAAAGAAAAGAAGGGAGGGGGGGAAACCCCCAAAAAATTGAGATCAAGAACCAGAAAGGTTAGTTACAAACCAAGCATAGGGGAGGGCGGGGTATAAATGTAATAAAATAAATAAATTATTAAAAACAAGATATATAACATACGTAATATCAAAAATGCATGTGTACATAAAGGTTGATGTAAGACCAAAAAAGGAGTTTTATAATAAAGATCAATTTACACAAGGCATGAGACTGTTTATGAGGCCTCCTGGAGTCTAGCCTTGTGCCATAGTCAGATGCATATGTCCTGAGTAATGTTGCTGTTATATGCCTTCTGATTTTGGTCCAGAAAATACAGGTGCAGACAACTGATCAGAGCCAATGTACCATAAATGGTGTGCACTTTTTTGGTCCTACATCAATTTGTAAATTGTTTTACTCGGGTCATTTCCTGCAGGAGCGCACAGGAGCGGAGCTCTGGCAGTAAAGTGCCCAGGGGGCGGGCACATGCAACAAGCCCCACCCCCTGCTCCCAGCAGCCCTCAGTCAGAGCAAGAAGCAGCCAGGTAAGCTGCAGAGCCCCCTCGCACCCCTCGGTCCAAAACAGTCCAGTGGCACCTTTAAGACCAAGTTTTATTCAGGTACAAGCTCTCCTTCCTCTGCGAGGACAGATCTGCATGTCCCCCCCCCAATAGCGAGCAATCCAGAACAGTCCAGTGGAGCCTGAGCGGTGGGTGTTGCCTTCTGATACACTTCTGGTGATGTCAGGGGGTGTGGCATATGCAAATAAGTTATGCTAATGAGCTCCTGCACCTCTTTTTCTACGAAATGACCCCTGGTTTTACTATTGTATTATGAGCCTCTATGTACAAATATTGCTTGACCACTGAGGAAGGCCTACTGGGCCAAAGCGCATCGTGTTGCAATAGTTCCCACTTGTGTATATATTTTTATTCTGTAGTGAGGCTACAGTTGGGCCCATAAATGTTTTTAACCCTTTGACAATATACATGTATTTTTGATATTACTTAGGTTATAAATATTGTTTTGAGTAATTGGCCTATACTTGGATTTGTAACGAACCTTTTTGGTTTTTGATGCAAAGCCCAGCAGGAAGGCTTCCTGAAGACAGTAATTTATTCAGGGCAAAACGGGGGTGGGGGGGGGATGTCCCATTTGTCAGTCAGTTTACTGGTTAAAGTGTCTGCCCCTTATATGGGTCAAAGTGAGTTTGGAAGTATGAAAGGAAGATATACACTTTGCTATTTGCGACACAAGTTTAAGAGGGTTTAAGCTGTTGGCTAACCAGCCTCAGTCATTATAACCGCATGATTTAACTACACGAGTAAATGAGAAATGTCATACAGCCCAAATAGAAGGGGAATCAAGGGAAACTATTTGTGGGCTTCACAAGGAGAACATTTATTCCCTTGATTTCAGGTCTGTGCTTCACTTGCTCAGTCTGCTTTGATTGGACAAGCATCTAATCCTACTTTTGCATGACCAAAAGTTTTAACTCCCTCAGAAATCGTCACTTGAGAATCCCAGAAATTTTCCAAACCAAATATGCTTCCAGTGAAAAACATAACATAGGTTTGCCCAGAAGACTGCAGTTCTTTCCATGCCCAGCAACATCATTCGGAATACACCTAGGCCAGGGGAACACTGCACACTGTCTTGTGATGCAACATGAGGGTTTGTTTGCCCGGTTCAGTGCCAAGGTTCTAGCGCACTGCAGCTAGGGGCTGTGGGACAGTGTTCTTGCCCCGGCCGCATTCTCAGGACCTATTCCATCCTAGCTGTTGTGGCTGTCATCAAAGGTGGTCACAGTCTGATATTTTTCCATGTTCCCCAAACCAGCAAAGAGTCCACTGTGCTACCAGCACCACAAACTTCATTCTGTGCAGCGCATGCCAGAAGCAAAAGAAGTGGTGAATGAGAGGGAAACACACCTTACCATTGATCTTCCCTGGTTACCCAGAGCAAAGTGAGAGCACCCATCCCTCTCCAGTAGGGTTGTCAGCCTCCAGGTGGGGCCTGGGGATCTCCCGCTTTTACCACTGATCCCCAGCTGACAGAGATCATCTCCCCTGGAGAAAATGGCTGCTTTGAAGGGTGGACTCTATGGCATTGTACTGTGCTGAGGCCCCTCCCCAAACCCCACCCTCTCCTGGCTCCACCCCCAAAGTCTCCAGGTATTTTCCAACCCAGACTTGGCAACCCTACTCTCCAGAGTTCTTTGATTTCATTCATGTTTCTCATGAAGTCCTGAAAGCTTGATGTGAAATGAAGAATATGGTGATTTCTAAGAAAATTAACGCAACAGCAAAAAGATCATGTATTGGCTTGGAGGATATTAAACAAGTAGTAGCCAATGGCGTGTGAAATTTGCCAATGCAGGTATTTTCAAAATGGCTGCCGGAATTCTGCAAGAGTGAAGGACTGCTTCACCTAAAACCAAAGGAACTTCAGAAACTCATTGAGAAAGACAAAATGGGTGAAGGCCACTGGGTTTGGAAGGCTTTACAAGCATGGAGAAATTCATGATAGGATAAATCTAGTAATCACTCCATTTGAATTGCTACTTTTTGTACACTTCCTCTCCCAACCAAGAGGCAACTTGACACTTTGGAGGATTATTTTGTGGGGCACAATCAGTTCTTTCCACCATCCCTTCAGGGGCAAAAGTTTACTAAAGACGCTTTGAATAAACATACAATTTACATATACTTTATATATCTACCACCCACAGCAATGCATAATTAGGTATCACTGTTGTGGGCACATCTAAAGCTCTGAATGAACTAACAGACTGTAAAGGCACATTCCAGTCAACAGACTGTACATACAAAGGTGGGTGAAGAAAACATTCCTGAGATATGATCCTGTTTCAAAAATGAACAGGCTTCCATACAGCAAACATGAAAGGGGATTGAGGGGGGGGGCATTTCCTGCAGGCATTTGTATCTAGACTGGCCAAAAGGCTCTGTCAAAAGCATGGCCTCTTCAGTTTATTCAGTGTAGCAGTGCATGGGTGGGAGGCACACAGGAAGCTACCCTCCACACCCACAAATCTTCAGTTGACACACAGTTTTTCAACCATGAAAGACGTGGTTAAAGGCTGAGATGTGAATTCTTCAAATAAATACGCCTCTTTGCTGCAAAGGCCAACCTGTTCTTGTAGTTCAGGAAACCCCAGCATTTTGTTCCTCATAGCTACAGATACTATACATTCTGTTAACTGAGAGGCGAAGTAACCATTCTTAAAGAAACTGGACCCAAAGGAATACTGTGCTCTCCCTCGAGCCCTCTGCCAATTGCTAATAATTGTTTTAATTAAATACTTCAATATTTCATAGAATCATAGAGTTGGAAGTTACCTCCAAGGTCATCTAGTCCAACCCCCTGCACAATGCAGGAAATTCACAAATACCTCCCCCTCCACACCCCCAGTGACCACTGTTCCATGCCCAGAAGAAGACAAAAAACTCCAGGATCCCTGGCCAAACTGGCCTGGAGAAAAGTTGCTTCCTAACCCCAAAGTGGCCATCAGCATTTCCCTGGGCATGTAAGAAAGGGCCACAAGAACTAAGCGTTGAGGCAACCCTTCCTGCCCACCATCTCATGATCTGCCTGAGTGCATAGAGTCAGTATTGCTGTCAGATGGCCATCTAGCCTCTGTTTGAAAACCTCCAAAGAAGGAGAGCCCTCTTCCCAACCTTTCCTCATAGGACTTGGTCTCCATACCCCTCACCATCTTTGTTGCCCTCTTCTGCACATGTTCCAGTTTGTCTATATCTTTCTTAAATTGTGGCACCCAAAACTAAACACAATACTCTAGGTGAGGTCTAACCAGAGCAGATCAAAATGGTACCATCACTTCGCGTGATCTGGACACTATACTTCTGTTGATACAGCCTAAGATTGCATTTGCCTTTTTAGTTACCACATCACACTGCTGACTCATGTTCAGTGTATGGTCTACTAAGACCCCTAGATCCTTTTCGCACATACTACTGCCAAGACAAGTATATAACCTATAATTATGCATTTGATTTTTCCTACATAACTTTATATTTATCCCCATTGAAATTCATTTAGCATTCTCATTTTATTTGTTTTAGCCCAGTTTTCCAGCCAGTCAAGATCATCCTGTATCCTGACTCTGTTTTCTACCGTATTTGCTACCCCTCCCAATTTAGTATCATCTGCAAATTTAATATGCATTCCTTCTATTCCTTCATCCTAATCATTGATAAAGATGTTGAACAAAGCAGGTCCCAAGACAGATCCTTGAGGCACTCTACCTGTCACTCCTCTCCA